TATAAGAGATATGGACCACCGCGCGCTTAGTAACTCACCCTGTATATGACAAAAAAGAAAACTTTGACCCAATTTTTTAGTATCACCATGTATCGATACAACGTCGGTGCAATGAAAGAAATTGCTTAATTTGACTTTCAAAATAATATACTTTAATTTCAACAAAATCTGTTGGTGGTCAAAATCCATAAGAAGTGTGAGATGTTCTTCTCTTTATTTGAAGAAGCTCAGAAGATATTGAAGATTGGAATGGACAAAAATTCAGACAACGAAATTGAGAAATAAAGAGGAAATTTAAGACAAATTGAGGAAAAACTGTTAGACAAAAAGACGTCATTTTTCTATTCCAGGCTCTCATACTTTGTCTATTTTTCTAAATTTTCTTTATACCGGGTCCCCACAAGATTACTTTCCGGCTGCCGAAAAACAAAAAAATATATAGGGTGTGCCATTTAAAAATCAAAAGTACCGGTGAAACCGGAAGTCAGGGAAACTTGTCATGAATGCATAAAAATGGTGTTTGGTTAGAATATCAACCCTACCAAGTTTCGTTGATATCCATAGACAAATAAAAAAATAGCAGCCGGAAAGTGATCTTGTTGGGCACTGCTATAAAGAAGCTCAGAAGATATTAAAGATTCAAGAGCTAATAATAGATAAAAATTGGGACGAAGAATTTGAGAAATAAAGAGGACATTTAAGGCAATTTGAGGAAAAATTGTTATGCGAAAAGACATAGTTTTTCTATTCCAGGCTCTCATATTTTGTCTTTTTTTCTCAATTCTCTTTATTTAAACAAGTTCAGAAGATATTGAAGATTCAAGAGCCAGGAATAGACATAAATTGAGACAAAGAAATTGAGAAATAAATAGGAAAGGACCCCCTGCACACTTCGTATGGAATTTCTGACCGCAGTCAAATTTAATCTGACCTTTTTGATCAATAACTACCATGGGCAACTATGTCTAAAGTTCATTTCACCAAACAAGATAGTGACAGTAAACAAACTTTGTCGAATTTTATTGGCTAGAAAAGGATTATACTCCATCCAAGGCAGGACCGTCCTAGGTTGTTTTGTATTTCTTTTCGCTGAATATATTTCCGAACGAATTCTTCAGCAGAATTTGTTGAACTTGATATTGTTTTAATCTAAATTGCTCACTAATTAACAATAATTCACCAAACACTATTTAAATAATTGTAAAATACTAGGAAATACGACATTAAACTTATTGACTCATATGACAATCTGACAATAATAAATGTCATTAGTTGTAATTCATATTTTTGCAGTCCTTCTCTGAATTTTTAAGCTCCGCCTGTTTGTTTACCTCTACTATCTCGTTTGGTGGAATGAACTTTAGTTTTTGAGATACAGGATGTTCAATGTGTGAATGTCCGATATGCATTATGACATCCTATTCAATCAGCCAAATCATATTCGTGTAAGAATTTGGTCAAGGCACGAAAATCAAGTAAAATACCAATAGTTATTTGTGCTCGAACTTTAGGTTCATGTACAGGATGTCCCATTTTGGTTGCACATACCTACGTAAAGAATTATTGCTATTGGAGTTGGAAAGATGTGGTTTTCGCGAACTTTGGCTACTTTTTTGTTAAACAAAAGATGGCGTCAACAGAAATGTCACCGCCCTTTTGGTTTTTTCAGATACAAGGTGTTTTTGAAAAAGTTGCATTTTGAGACACCCCTTGTATATCGGTTCTCTCATAAGTGATCGAAAAGTTGAAAACAGATTCTTATGGATATTTTAACAAAGACTCAGTTGCCTAGTCAGTTTTTCTCTAGAAGTGATAATGGGTCTTCAAAAAAAAAAAACAATGAAAGATTGCTTTGACGAAAACGTACAGGGTGATCTATTATAAATGTCACTCCCTTCTAAGTTTCTCATTTGACATTTTTGACAAAAGTGTCAAATACAAAAGTTTCAAGAAATTTTCAAAAGTTTTTAACTAAGTCAGTTTTAGGCATACAGGGTGCGTCAAAAAAGTGCAGCAGTGTGAACTTATATTTTTTTAAATGGAACACCCTGTATATTGTGTGCTTATTTGTTAGTCCCTTTTAACCTGATTTCAACAATATACAGTTTGGTATGCCTATCTTCAATGGTTATAGGGGAAAACATGAAAACCACTTTCAAGTTTTCATATTGGAAATACAAAAATTATACCATTTAAGCTTTGGAGAATTTTTTTTATAAATCCAGATGTCTAAGTTATTATTATTATTTTTAATAAAATAACATGAGAGACCTAGGAAGGGATTTCCTCGTTTTTTCCTATAACTATTGGAGATAAACCGAGAGATAAACATATTAAATCGTATATCGGTTGAAATCAGGTTGAAGGGGACTAACAAATAAGCGCACAATATACAGGGTGTTCCATTTGAAAAAATATAACTTCACACTGCTGCACTTTTTTGACGCACTCTGTATTCCTAAAACTGACTTCGTTGAAAACTTTTGACAATGTCCTAAAACTTTTGTATGTGACACTTCTGTCAAAAACGTCAAATGAAAAAGTTAGCTGGGGGTGACATTTATAATAGATCACCCTGTACATCGAATTATCGTTTCTTTATTGGTAAAGATTTTTGACATGACATTTTGACATTAGTGCTAAGACATACATTTAAAAAACCATAACAATTTTGATTGTTTTTTTTTTTTTGAACACCCGATAGTTTTTGATTTGTGAACCAAACAACTGTCTTTTCAAATGAGACACCCGATATTTTATAAAATTATTGGATAGCTCTGCTTTTGCCGATTTCAATTATGTTAAATTCTACAGGTTTATCTCTGTATTAGAAAGAGACCTTTCTTATTTTCCTCACTGGTGCAAAGTTCTTTTCTGACACGTTGTTTTTATGACAAAAACAGACATGATAGAGATGCACCTATCGAACTTTATATCATCGAAATCAGCAGGAGCAGAGCTATCCAATGAGCTATTAATATACAGGGTGTCTCATTTGAAAAAATGTACGTTTGGTTTATAAGTTAAAAACTATCACTTCCAGTAAAAGTATCTATAAGAATCCGTTGTCATCTTTTTCAAAAACACCTTCTATCTGAAAAAAACCAAAAGGGCGATGACAATTCTGTTGGCGCTATCTTTCTTTGACAAAAAAGTAACCAAAATTCGCGAAGACCGCATAATTCCAACTCCAATAGCAACAGAGTTATTCCTTATGTATGTATGTACAACTACAGTGGGACACTCTGTACAGGGTTATTGGTTATAAATGTCACCCCCCTCTATCTTTTTTATTTGACATTTTAGAAAAAAGTGTCCCAAATAAAAAAAATTATGGTTGAAATTAAATTTTTGAAAAACTTACTTTTGCATATACAGGGTGTTTCAAAAAAGCTGATCGTGCTCCAACTTTCTTATCTTTAATTGAATACCCTGTAAGTATATTATTCAATATTCGGATTTTACGTCAAACTCTGAGCAGATTTCTTGTGATATACCCTATACCTAAGTTCAACCGTTTCGGAAATATTGACAGTTGAAAATCGACCTTTTCGCAAATTTGACGTGTAAAACCTATACGGTTAACTTTTGAGCAAAACCGATCTTAGATTTTTTCCTAAGATTTTCACAAGTTATCATTTGACATTAACTTTGAATTTAACCGAAGATTAAATTTAATTGGAATTATCAATCAGGGATTAAATTCAAAGTTGATGTCAAATATTGGTGTCAACTGATAGTTTATAAAAATCTAAGATAAAAATGTAAGCTCGGTTTGGCTCTAAAATTAACCGTTTAGGATTTACAGCCTGTCAAAGTTGCAAAAAAGTCAATTTGCAACTGTAAATACTTCCAAAACAGTTGAACTGAGGTATATATAGGATATATCACATGAAATCTGCTCAGAATTTTACGTAGAATCCGAATATCCAATAATATACAGGGTATTCTATTTGAAATAAGAAATTTGGAGCACGACCAGCTTTTCTGAAACACCCGGTATATGCAAAAATGAGTTTTTCAAAAAATTTAATTTCAACCATAAAACTTTTATTTGGGACACTTTTCTCTTAAATGTCAAATAAAAAAGATAGAGGGGGTGGTATTTATAACCAATAACCCTGTACATGAACCTATGCCTCTATGATACGAGCACACATACCTATGAGTATTTCACTTGATTTCTGTACCTTGACCGAATTCTCACATGAACATGATTTGGCTGATTGAATGGGATGTCATAATTCATATCGGACATTCACACATGGAACACCCTGTATTCCAAAAACTAGTCATAGGATTAAGTTGTGCCCATGGTAGTTATTGATCAGAAAGGTCAGATCTATAACATACTAAAATTTGAATAAATTTGACCGCGGTCAGAAATCCCATAAGAAGTGTGCGCGGTCCTTTTCTTTATTTAAAGAGGCTTAGAAGATATTGAAGATTTAAGAGTCAGGAAATAGACAAAAATTGAGACAAAGATAAGGACATTTAAGCTAAATTGAGAAAAAACTGTTAGACGTTTTTGGTTCTCATATTTTGTCAATTTATTTAAAGAAGATTCAGGAATTGACAAAAATTGAGATTTTTGAGATCCCAATGATGTAGCTCGAATTTGAAACACCCTGTATGCCATGTGAGTGAATTGTATATAAGCTTGTCAAGAATTTCAAATGAAAATGTACATTTTGGGATTACATGTTTATTATATCTTTTACATTTCAACTGTACATTAACTTACTAACATGTGCACTTATTTTAAAAAATTCAAAATCGGTCTGTTTCTAACAACAACAAAATATTGTATATTATGTAAAAAAAAAAATCATTTACCCCTCCTGAAAAAATATTCTTTACTAAAAAAAAAATATACATAAACTTGGAACAGATAGTACCTTTTTTACTCCATTAAAATGTTTCAATAATTATGTATTAACAAGAGTAAAAAGGGTGCTCTGTTGGGGGGTAACGTACAATGACGTCATTGTTGCGTGCAGGTGCGAGTGAAAGCCCGAAACTTTGGGGCGCGATGGGGTCAGAACTGGGCTCAATGTCTCCGCAGCCGGCCACTTCCAGGGTAAGCTACACACCTCACAGATAATTAATTATCTTTGAATCCTTGCTTGGTTCGCTTGTAAACGCTCTAACTAACATTTGAAAAAGTTTGCTGTGGATTTTATTAACACACTTAATTTGCATTATTTTCTTAATTAATTCATGTGCATGCCTTTGTAGATTTTGAAGTATTTTAAATAATAAAATAATAATTTCAGACTACTATGGAGGAAGGACGGCAAGGTGATCACACTAAGACCTCGTTGCTGCAACAATTGCTATCGGATCAGAGTAAATAAAGTGTCTTTGGTGTTAAACATGTGTTTTAGAAAGAATCTGTCTTTGTATAATAATTGTTAAGATGCCACTAAATAATTATAACCCTTACTAACTTACTATCAAGATGTTAATGATTTCTATTATAATGTCTATAATAGTATATGTGAACCAAAGATGTCGTGTATACGTATGTGATCCTGTTGTCAACCGTATTAAGTATATAAATATTTTTCATTGATTGCTCATTATGTGATTGTACATTTTTTTTTTCTTTTAAGTATATAGTCTTTTTTTTTTTAAATCTGGCAGATGCAACTAAAACACTTGTTCTCTTTGAGATATTTTATTATGAATAATAATAATTGTAACCCTAGAAGTTATCCTGTTTTATGTTTTAGTTTTTATTTTTACTATCTGTCGATGAGGGTGCAGAATTTGGTGCGATTTAAATGGCAAGAATTATTTGTTTTTAGGGTAATTGAAATGAGAAAATCAGATTTTTATTAAAAAGTTTATTGAGTAGTGGTATTTCACCAGCCCACTTATGCTACACCTCTCATGTCTCTTTACAGTGCCAGACTAGAGTCAAGCTCAATAGGGTCTTCTTTACCCGCTAATTTGCCCAAGTCGGTTCCCTTGGCAGTAGTTTTGCTAAATAGTGGGTAGGGACAGTGGGAATCTCGTTACCTAATCCATTCATGCGTGTCACTAATTAGATGACGAGTTCTTGCAGCAAAAATATTGGTATCTGATGTGAGTCGGGACTAGTCATTGTAGGAGCCCTTTTCACTAATTTTGTCGCGCCAGCTTTTAAGCGTTTTTCTAAATACTTCACCATAGCTAAAGCATTAGTATGCCCAGTACAGTCAACAGCATAATTAATGTTTTTCGCATGAAGTTGACTGTATTTCTTTCTCAAGAGAGGGTAAATTTTCCTTACTTATGTTTAAACAAGTCAATTTTCCAGAATTTTTCCTGGAGTGATTTTTCACTGTTACCTATAATGATTTTCTTAGTTTCCTCTTTCTCCTGGAAAAAATTCAAAATTTTCCCTTTCCAGTTTTTTAGAAAAAAACTAAAATGTAAGATGGTGAATTTTCCTAAATTTTGCTTAAATAAGTCAATTTTCCAGACTTTTTCCAGGAGTGATTTTTCATTGGAAAATTTTGAAATTTTGTTAAAATGAGCTGCTCACCTTCCTCTTTCTCCTAGAAAAATTTCAAAAATTTTCCTTTCTCCAGTTTTCCAGAAAACAATTAAAATGTAAGAGGGTGAATTTTTTTATAATTTTGTTTAAAAAAGTCAATTTTTCAGATTTTTTTCCTGGAGTGATTTTTCACTGTTACCTATAATGATTTTCTTAGTTTCCTCTTTCTCCTGGAAAAAATTCAAAATTTTCCCTTTCCAGTTTTTTAGAAAAAAAACTAAAATGTAAGATGGTGAATTTTCCTAAATTTTGCTTAAATAAGTCAATTTTCTAGACTTTTTCCTGGAGTGATTTTTCATTGGAAAATTTTGAAATTTTGTTAAAATGAGCTGCTCACCTTCTTCTTCCTCCTAGAAAAATTTCAAAAATTTTCCTTTCTCCAGTTTTCCAGAAAACAATTAAAATGTAAGAGGGTGAATTTTTTTATAATTTTGTTTAAAAAAGTCAATTTTTCAGATTTTTTTCCTGGAGTGATTTTTCACTGTTACCTATAATGATTTTCTTAGTTTCCTCTTTCTCCTGGAAAAAATTCAAAATTTTCCCTTTCCAGTTTTTTAGAAAAAAACTAAAATGTAAGATGGTGAATTTTCCTAAATTTTGCTTAAATAAGTCAATTTTCCAGACTTTTTCCTGGAGTGATTTTTCATTGGAAAATTTTGAAATTTTGTTAAAATGAGCTGCTCACCTTCCTCTTTCTCCTAGAAAAATTTCAAAAATTTTCCTTTCAATTGTTTTCCAGAAAACAATTAAAATGTAAGATGGTGAATTTTCCTAAATTTTGCTTAAATAAGTCAATTTTCTAAACTTTTTCCTGGAGTGATTTTTCATTGGAAAATTTTGAAATTTTGTTAAAATGAGCTGCTCACCTTCCTCTTTCTCCTAGAAAAATTTCAAAAATTTTCCTTTCTCCAGTTTTCCAGAAAACAATTAAAATGTAAGATGGTGAATTTTCCTAAATTTTGCTTAAATAAGTCAATTTTCTAAACTTTTTCCTGGAGTGATTTTTCATTGGAAAATTTTGAAATTTTGTTAAAATGAGCTGCTCACCTTCCTCTTTCTCCTAGAAAAATTTCAAAAATTTTCCTTTCTCCAGTTTTCCAGAAAACAATTAAAATGTAAGATGGTGAATTTTCCTAAATTTTGCTTAAATAAGTCAATTTTCTAAACTTTTTCCTGGAGTGATTTTTCATTGGAAAATTTTGAAATTTTGTTAAAATGAGCTGCTCACCTTCTTCTTCCTCCTAGAAAAATTTCAAAAATTTTCCTTTCTCCAGTTTTCCAGAAAACAATTAAAATGTAAGAGGGTGAATTTTTTTATAATTTTGTTTAAAAAAGTCAATTTTCCAGATTTTTTTCCTGGAGTGATTTTTCACTGGAAAATTTTGAAATTTTCTTTTAATGAACTTCTCACTTTCCTCTTGCTCCAGGAAAAATTTCAAAATTTTCCTTTCTTCAATTTTCCAGAAAAAAATTAAAATGTAAGAGGGTGAATTTTTTTTAATTTTGCTTATAAAAAAGTCAATTTTCCAGAATTTTTCCTGGTGTGATTTTTTACTGGAAAATTTTAAAATTATCCAAGAATGAACTCCTCACTTTTCTCTTTCTCCTGGAAAACTTTCAAAATTTTTCCTTCACCATTTTTCCAAGAAAAAAAATTAATTTACAAAAGGCTGCATTTAGTTTAAAGAAAACTGGGAAAATCCTGGAAAATTGGAAAATTTATGGAAAAAAAAGTTGGTTTCGGGACTTTTTGGGATATCCTCTACAAAATGGCTATCTTGAAATTTCGAAATTTTGATTTTGATTTTTGACCCTATACCTACACACACAGGAAATTCTGAAAATTACGAAAATTGCAACTTCAACCGTATATAGCTCTGTAACGGTGAGTCCTAGAGGAAAACTCTCCAAGGGCAGATTGTAGAGCTCCTCGAGATCTACATATATATTGTATTTGGAAACAAATTGCGAATTTCCATTTTGATTTTTTGAGGGAATTTTTTCATTAGGGTTTGGTCCAATGTTTTTTGGATTTTGAAATTTCAAACAGTCATAACTTGGAAGTTATGAGTCGTAGAGAAAAACTTTTCATATGAAAATTGTAGCTCTCAATATATACTACAAAATTGCTATGTGAGTTTTTCCTCTACGACTCACCATTTTTGAGTTATTTGAGTTTGAAATTTTAGTTGAAATTTCAACTTTGAGGCTCAATAACTCTAGAACGGTAATAATCATTGAGATTGAAAATGAATTTGTTGGTAATTCAATGGAACTTTATTCATTCAAATCAATCCAGGCTTTCCAGAGTTATGGCTGATTTAGTGGGGCCATGTCAAGTTGGTAAATTCCAAATACAATTTTGGAATTTCGTTCTCGAATTTTTTCCGAGCTTAGGAGGTCTCAAATGAAAAAATGCCAAGAGGTATTTGATGTGATAGGATGCAATATTGCTTTTTCTCTTAGAATTTTCGAAAAAACCCACTGGATCTAGAAGCATTCCTATAAACTGTTCCACGTTAAATTCCGATTTCCAAAAATGACACTCTGAAATAATTTTTGCCTCAACTCCGGTAATTTTCATCCGATTTCAATGTAATTGAGCCCTTATTGAAGCAAATCAAATTCTTCACAAACCTTGTTAATTGAGATTATAATTTGGTTTCAACAGTCTTGCACCTGAGAAAATTCAAAATTGAAATTATCGAACACGAAGACAGTTTTTGCTCACAGCTTCGTTAATTTACATCCAACTCATAAAAAATACATTCCGAGAAAAATAAATAATTCTTGCCTCTAAAATTGAACCAATTTTTTTATCGTAAAGTTGTACATATAAGATTTGAAAAGAAAATTCTACTAGGTACCTCATTCGTCAAGGCAGTTTCTGTCACTTTTCTCGTTCGAAATTTGTTGTTACCAAAAATAAATAATATTTCGAAAATGAAAAGTATCGGGAACAGCCTCAAGTACCGCAGGCTGTAATCTAGACAGGTTAGCTGTATCGAAAAGTGCATTACTACATGAAATTGCTTGTTGTATAATTTTTTTTTTTTTTTAATAGAAAGGTAATGCGTTAGCAAAACATAGAGCTCGAGAGTGCAATTGTACATAAATATTTTGTGTATATTATTATTGTGTCTAAGCGCATTACTGAAAGAAAAAAAAAAAGATTTTTGAAAAATAGTAACTGTTAATATTTTATACATAATTTAAAGTATGTTATTTGAAAGGGAGTCGTTTTTGTTGGACATTGTGATAGGCAACCGCCATGTTACTGTTGCTAGGGTTGATCCTAGGAATTAATTATTTTTAGTATAATATAAAAAAAAAATAGCATTCATACTTGATTATAATTATTGTCAATTACCCCGTCCCACACCCCAAAATCCTTACCGATCCGCAAATCTCTATATGAAAAATTTTAAAAATTAAAGAAGAGTAAAAGAATATGAATGAACAAATTGACAGACAAAAGCATTATTTAATTACACAGATATTTTTTGTACATTATTGGAGTTTTGAAATATATATATTGAATAAAAATTAAATATAATTTAGTTGGTGTTTTATTATTGGAATTTTTGTTTTCGAAAATTGGGCATTTTACACAAATGATGAAAAGACCGAAAAATCTCGTTTTATAAGGTTTTGATCCAAAATACGAAAATTGGACATTTTTCACAAATTTGGTGGAAAGGCTAAAAAATTCGGTTTTATATGGTTTTGGTCCAAAATACGAAAATTGGACCTTTTACACAAATGATGAAAAAAGTAAAAATTCTCGTTTTTTAACGTTTTGACACAAAATACAAAAATAGGACCTTTTACACAAATTCGGTGAAAATTCCAAAAAATCCCGTTTTATTATGATTTTGGGCTTAAATTCGAAAATTGGACATTTTTTGAAAAATTTGGTAGAAAGACTGTATTGAAGTAAACCAAGGATAATTGATGGAAAGAATAAAAAAAAAACCCGTTTTATAAGGTTCTGATTCAAAATACGAAAATTGGATATTTTTCACAAATGATGAAAAGACCAAAAAATTCTATTTTATTAGGTTTTGATCTAAAATACGCAAATTGGACCTTTAACACAAATTTGGTGAAAAGTCCAAAAAATCCAATTTCATTATGATTTTGGCCTTAAATTCGAAAATTGAACATTTTTCACAAATTTGGTGGAAAGACCAAAAAATTCGGTTTATATGGCTTTGGTCCAAAATACGAAATTTGGACTTTTTACACACATTTGGTGAAAAGACCAAAAATTCTCGTTTTATAAGGTTCTAAACCAAAATATGAAAATTGGACCTTTAACATAAATTTGGCGAAAAGCCCAAAAAATTTTATTCCATTATGATTTTGGCCTTAAATTCGAAAATTGGACATTTTTCACAAATTTGGTGGAAATACCAAAAAGTTCGGTTTTATATGGTTTTGGTCCAAAATCCAAAAATTGGACTTTTTACATAAATGATGAAAAGATCAAAAAATCCCATCTTATAAGGTTTTGATCCAAAAAACGAAAATTGGACATTTTTCACAAAAATGATGAAAAGTCCAAAAATTTTCGTTTTATAAGGTTTTGATTCAAAATACGAAAATTGGACCTTTTACACAAATTTGGTGAAAAGTCCAAAAAATCCTGTTTCATTATGATTTTGGCCACAAATTCGAAAATTGGACATTTTTCGCAAATTTGGTGGAAAGACCAAAAAATCCCGTTTTGGTCCAATATTCGAAAATTGGACATTTTTCACAAAAATGATGAAAAGACCAAAAGTTAAATTCTCGTTTCAAAGGGTTTGGATCCAAAATACGAAAGTTGGACCATTTACACAAATTTGGTGAAAAGTATAAAAAATCCTAATTTATTATGATTTTGGCCCTAAATTCGAAAAGTCGACATTTTTCACAAATTTGGAGGACAGACCAAAAATTCGATTTTATATGGTTTTGGTTCAAAATCCGAAAATTGGACATTTTACACAGATGATGAAATGACCAAAAAATCCCGTTTTATAAGGTTTTGATCCAAAATACGAAAATTGGACTAATAACACAAATTTGGTGAAAAGTCTAAAAAATCTGTTTCATTATAGTTTTGGCTTTAAATTCGAAAATTGGACATTTTTCACAAATTTGGTAGAAAGACCGAAAAACTTTCGTTTTATGAGGTTTTGATCCATAATACGTAAATTGGGCCCTTTACACAAATTTGGTGAAATGTCTAAAAAATCCAGTTTTATTATGATTTTGGCCTTAAATTCGAAAATTGGACATTTTTCACAAATGATGAAAAAATTCTCGTTTTATAAGGTTTTGATTTAAAATACGAAAATTGGACTTTTAACACAAATTTAATGAAAAGTCCAAAAATTCCGTTTTATTATGATTTTGGCCTTAAATTAGAAAATTGGACGTTTTTAACAAATTTAGTGGAAAGACTAAAAAATTCGGTTCTATATGGTTTTGGTCCAAAATACGAAATTTGGACTTTTTACACAAATTTGGTGAAAAGACCAAAAAATTTAGTTTTATAAGGTTCTAAACCAAAATAATCAAAATATGAAAATTGGACCTTTGACATAAATTTGGTGAAAAGCCCGAAAAAATTCGTTCCATTATGATTTTGACTTTAAATTCGAAAATTGGACATTTTTTACAAATTTGGTGGAAAGACCAAAAATTTCGATTATGGATTGGTCCAAAATACAAAAATTGGATATTTTTCATAAATGATGAAAAGACCAAAAATTCTCGTTTTATAAGGTTTTAATCCAAAAATACGAAAATTGGACCTTTTACACAAATTTGGTGAAAAGTCTAAAAAATTCCGTTTTATGTGGTTTTGGACTAAAATCCGAAAATTGGACCGAAAAAAAGACCAAAAAATCCCATTTTATATAATTTTGGTCCAAAATACGAAAATTGAAATTTTTTTACAAAGGTGTAAAGACCAAAACTCCTTTCTTAGTTCAACATTTGAAAATTAATTATTTTATTGGAACTGGAATTAAAATAAAACCAAAAACGGGTTAATACATTTTAATAAAATTTTCAAGTGAACTTTATAATTTTAGGCAATTCTTATACATTACTAAAAACTTACATTAGTATAATATTCTTACAATTTAGAGGCTCAAAAACGTAACAAAACGAAACTCTACACCTCTATACAACCCAATAAATATTTTATTCTACTTGTATTAATATTGTAACTATAATTATTTAGTAAAAGGGGAATGTTTGTGAAGTATTTCGGAATTAATTATTATTACCTAATAACAAAATTTACATCGTCTTAAATAAATAAACAATAATTTTTATATAATAATATATACAAAAATGTACATAAAGATGTGCGCTTTTTAAATTTTACAATGTGCATTTATGTATTTTATAAACATGGGTATAATGGGTATTAAATATTCCGACAAAAATAAGCAAATGGCTGTTACTAAAATTACAATTCAAACTCAAATAGTTTTTATATAATACACGCACTAAACCTAAAAAATCTAAATATATAAAATTAGTATCACAATTTCAAAAACTGTTCAATATAATGTTGTGCACAATGAGTCTTTGTTTTTAAAACTAAACCAAGCGTATAATGTTATATGGAGAAAAATTATATTTACATTAATATCATTATTATTTTTATCTAAAATTAGATATCCTATCTATTAAAAAGATGTTCGAAATTATTACATTTTAAGTCCTATATGCTAACAGATTCAATAGTTATTAAAATCAATGGTGAATTTTAGTAGCTATATGTTTTGAATTTGAAACTCTGAGATTTTATATGTTTTTAGAGCCTTATACGCAAAATTACTAAGATTCACCTACAATTATTATTATACCTAATATCTAATAATACTCAACAAGAACAGAAAGTTATTTTAATCATCAAGCTACTGATATGTATGAAATGCTTATGTAGGTATGACCTACAGAAAATTCCCAATCAATCATCTCCAAAGTTAGGCAATTTTTACAAAATTTTAAGTAATGTACAATGGTACCAATATATTATTTTTTTTGCACTAAGACCAAAATATTTATATTTTTCATAATTTGTTGCTTCAAACATATGAGTAGCTTTTCTGGTAAATACAGGTATACTTACTATTTATTGTATAAATATAATTTATAATACAAAAAATATTAAAATTAAGAGATGTAATACTAGACAAATGGTCCCTGAGTCTAAAAGTTCCATTTTTGTGCTACATTAAATTGTGAACTAAAATATCTTTCCAAGATAGACAGTGAGCTAAATACATATTATTATATGAACAGATTTATTTTGATAATTTTACGGAAAACTATTGAGGAGAAAATTTTGATACTTTCGAAGTAGAAACATGACAGTGGCGGCTCGTCAGAGGAGGCAGGCGAGGCTAAGCATCCCCCAAAAAATTGAAAATTCAATCTCAGTTTTTCATTCCTGATTCCTAATTGAAATGATAATTCACAAATTTCGATATTTCAATGTAATTTAGAAAAATCTGACAACATTATTTCAATCAATCCCGCGCTTCCACTACAAAAAATCTGTGAATCTGGGATACTCAGTAATACGAGCCCGAAGGGCCGGAATTTTATGCGAGCTTAAAGGGCTGGAGTAATACGAGCCCGAAGGGCCGGAGTTATACGCGTGCTCAAGGGCCCGAGTTATACGCGAGCCCGAAGGGCCGGAGTTATACGTGAGCCCGAAGGGCCAAAGTTATTTAAATCACGAGGCTCAATCTATAATTCTATTGGTCTGCGAATAATTTAAAGTCAATTAAAAACCGGGAGTATTTAAAATGCGATTTTTAGCGTCGGGAATATTCAAAAACTTCAGTTTTATAAAATTGACTTTGGAATGTTGGTTTTCTATGGGGATATTTTTACTTTTTTCAGAAAACGGTGCTTTTGTAAACTTATACTACTTTATCGTTGTCTTTGTCTTACTCATTATAATCAATAAGTTAACCTTATAATGTCATTTTCATTGAAATTAAACTAAAAACATGTTTTCTATGATTTATTTGGGGAATTTTAATTATTTTATCCCATTTTGATGTTTAAAAATGTCATTATTGAACGCATAACAATGAAGGTAAGTAGACGTTTATCACCTCAGTGATTTAAAAAGATTTTAACTCACTCTCGGTATTTTAAGTCACTCTGCCCAACTAAAAATCTGATACCTCAGTGATTTAAAATATTTTTAACTCACTCTTGAAATTTTTCCTTGTACTTTATTTTTCAAATTTCCACAAAATGGAATAAAATTTTGTATACATCACGTGTTAGAATTATGATTATACAAAAACAAGTCAACCAGGTTCCAAAAGGCAATATGTGGCAATATTAAATTTGTTTTAAAAGCCTGAGAAAAAGCAAATGCCATTATCTACATAATAAAATGTATTATCAGTCGAAACTTATTTAAAGAAAAAGGGTCTGCTTTTATGACTTCTGCTGGCTGGTACCTGGAAGGGTTTTTGTAAACAAGAGAAGTGGTGAGTCACCCTTGAAATGTATAATTTTGCCTGTAAAAATTATGTGAAAAATTAGTCTTAGAGAAACTGGTATCGAATACAGACATATTGAAATTAATCTAGCGTTTTATTTCCCATAAACCACTTAAAGGAAAAATAATAATATTAAATAGGTTATGGGCCCAGAATTCGCGAATAGCAAATAGTGGACTAAATACGTTCGTTTAATTTTGTGTTAATTATTTATCCTGTGCTGTGGGCACTCACATTAGTGCCACGAACGTGTGTTTTCTCTAAGTGTCGCTAAATCTCTATTATGGAGAAAACAAAACCGAGGAATGTTCAACCGTTTAACGGGGAAAAATACAGTATTTGGAAATTTCGTGTAAGGTTACTACTAGCGGAAGCACCAGTACTTTATGTAGTTGATGAGACGCCTCCTGCTGATCCCAATGATAGATGGAAAAGGCACGATGTGTATGCGAAAGGCATAATCACAGAATACCTCAGTGACTCATTCTTGAACTTCGTCAAAGATAAACCGACTGCTCGGGATGTATTTGCTGACATGGATGCAATTTATGAAAGGAGAAGTTTAGCCACACAATTGGCATTACGTAAAAAACTTCTCATCCTCAAGTTCCAAGGAGACCAGCATTTGCTACAACACTTTACAATTTTTGATGACATTATCACAGAATTACTAGCAGCGGGAGCTAAATTAGACGAGATGGACAAAATTTCTCATCTTCTTCTAACAATGCCGTTTGCTTACGAGGGTGTAATCACTGCATTGGAGACTTTAGGAGAGGACAATTTGAATTTCTCATTCGTCAAAACGCGATTACTAGATCACGAAGTGAAACTCAAAAACGTGAAAAACCACGACAAGTCTCAAAGTTCTCAACACATTCAGAGGCACCTCAAACAAGCATAGTTTCCCTGTACATCAAAATCAAAAACAGTACAAAAAGAAGAAATTCCCTCACAATAAACAGAAAGGTAATTTCAAAAAGGATTCAAAAATTGCCTCTAAAATGTCAAACATCAAATGCGATCATTGTGGTAGAACAAACCATTTAATAAAAGATTGCTACTTCTACAAACAAATGCTGGAAAAACAACGCAACATTCAAACTGTTTCACGCACGCAATCAGAAGGAAATGGTTTTGCTTTTATGCTCAGAAATGATCTTGCAACAACAACATTGAAGCAGACTGAAGACACATTGTTTCTGCTTGACTCTGGGGCAACAGATCATATTGTCAACCAAGAAAAATTCCTTTCAACAAAATATGAACTACCAAGACCAATTCAAATAGCAGTAGCTAAAAATGAAACAACAGTTGTAGCCACAAAAGCAGGATCGATGGAAGTGATAACAAATCTTGGAGTCAGGGGGATTCTGGAAAATGTATTATTTATACCTGAAGTGCCCTACAACTTGATTTCTGTGACGCGCCTCCAGAACAAAGGAATAGTGGTAATTTTTGACGAAAATGGAGTGAAGATTAAACGCAATTGTGAAACAATAGCTACAGGTGAGCCCATTAATGGTTTAATAGGTATAAAATTTAAAATACCTAAAAATCATGGGAATAAAATTAATATGATTGACAATAATAACTACCAAAAATGGCATGAACGTTTAGGGCACCCAAGTGCTCAATCATTTTCAAAATTAAAGCATTTTAAAATGGTAGAAGATGTCAGTCATATAAATAATATTGTCCCTGTAAATAATATATTATGTGAAGCATGCATAAATGGGAAACAAACTAGACTACCGTTTGCAAAGTCCAAATCGAAATCACATATTAAAAGACCTTTGTTTATTGTTCATTCTGATGTTTGTGGACAAATTACTCCTCCTACTGTTGATAATAAAAATTATTTTGTAACATTTATTGACGATTTCACGCACTATACTGTATAATACAGTGAGGGGCAAGCTACTAAGTATATAGGATGTAACCTGACGAATTTGCAGGCGTCCGCATGTCAGAAAATGACAAATCGATTTAGCGCTAACCTGGCGACAACCAAGTAAAAAGTTTCTAGGGTTGTTAATAATTTTCAAAAATACGGTTGTGTTTCTCCCTGAATCGTCCTGAAACCAAACGAAATGACGTCCAGGAAAATAATGAGGATCAAGAAGCCAAATAAATTATGTTGTTGGTTGTTGGCATTAGTTAACAAAACTTCAACTATTTCGACTCGTGCGCTTGCGCAGGATATTGACTCAAGTACAAGGACGGTTAGGAGCCACAGAAAAAAAAAAGTATCGTTCGTACAAAGTAAGAAACTCCCAAAAAATTGATCCTGAGGACAACATCAGGCGAATGGATTTTTGTGAAACTGTCATTAATAAGGCAAATGAAAATCAAGATTTTCTTAGAAAAATTGTCTTTACAGATGAGTCGACATTTTAACTCCATGGTCGACATAATCCTAGTCACACCCGTTATTGGTCTAAGGAGAATTTACACAGGTATTTTGAGCTTAGAGCCCAGCGTCGTCAAAAGGTAACTGTCTGGAGCGGTTTTTGTGGATAACATATTATTGGGACGTACTTCATGGACGCTAACTTAACTGGTCCAAAATATTTGGATCATTTGCAACGGGCCAACGGCAGATAATTCCAGAAATTGAAAGATTATCTGGTCCTATAGATTTAATGAAATATGGTATCAATAAGATGGATGTCCAGCCCATAATACGGGTTTCATTCTGGACCATTTGAATAATACTTTTCCGAACCGTCTCATTGCTGGGTCGAGAGCTACAATACTGTGACGCTCTCCTGATCTTGCACCCAACGATTATTTTCTCTGGGGTTATTGCAACTCAAAAATGTATGGTTTTCAGGAGAATCGCGCCGTGAACCTTGAGCAGCTGCGTTTCAAAATTCGAGAAATATATCTAACTGTCACCCCTGTGATGCTAAATAATATTCGTAGAGCCTTCTATGATCGTTTAGGTCATTGTTTAGTTCAAGAAGGTGGACTGTTTGAACATTTGCTACATTGTAGTGCAAATGGTAATCGAGCCAGGTTTTTGGGGTCAAAACTAGAATTTTTGTTTTTATTTTACCTAATTTTTTTTTCTATTTTTTATGTTGAATATATTTTTAGTTTTTCCTGGATGGCTTTTTTAAAATACATGTTTTTTTTCCATAGATTATTGTTTCGGTTCCAAAAAAAATCTATCTATACACGCCGTTTAATAATTATAAGTACCTAAGTGAAGCTCGACGATACATCTAAAAGCACGGTCTAGATGCTACGTTTTGCATCAAGTTTTGTCTGCACAGTTCAACACGTGATCAGGTATCAGTAACGTAACGTCTGGACCGGGCTTAAGTCTGTAAAATCATAAAACGTACTGATGTGAACCATGGTTTATGAACGTCAAAAGTCATCGAAAAAACGACAGCGCACCGACAGCGACAGATGTTCAGACGGCTGCGGACGATCGTAAATTCGTCAAGTTGGATCCTATATACCTAGTAGCCTGCCCCTTACTGTATTTAATTGAATTGAAATCGGAAGTCATAAAAGTCTTTAAAGATTTTGTTGCAAAAGCCGAAACATACAGTAATTATAAAGTTGTGAATATTTATTGTGACAATGGAGGAGAATATTTATCCAATGAAATGAAAGGGTATTGTGTTCAGAAAGGCATTTCTTATCATCTAACTGTACCTCATACCCCTCAACAAAATGGTGTAGCAGAGCGGATGAATCGTACTATTACTGAAAAGGCGAGAACGATGATCTATACATCGGGGTTGGATAAATCTTTTTGGGGTGAAGCTGTCTTAACAGCTACCTACCTAATATAGTTATTTATGTATCAAGAGAATTATGCAGGTGTTAATACCCCAGGGCAACGTTTGTGTGGCCCGAGGGACACCAATTGCCCGTGGGTATTAACTCCTGATAATTCCCGTGGTACATAGATAATTTTATATCCTACTGAATTTACTGTATTCTGTCTATTTTTATAAAGGAATAAGCCATAAATCAAACTTTCTATTTTTTGTCAAAGTGTTACCTATTCAAGGTAAAAGCGGGAGTTATGGAAATCCTTAACTCCCTTGGGAGTTATGAAAATCCTTAACTCCCTTGGGAGTTAAGACCCTGTTTATGATTATCGTAACCAAGGTATTATATGGTTTTAATAGTTCAGTAGGATATAAAATATTTTACCAACCTCCGCTCTGCAGGTAAATAAAACACCATATGAACTGTGGCATCATAAAAAGCCCAGATTGGACAATCTAAAAATTTTCGGTTCAACCGTTTATGTCCATATTAAAACTCGAAAAACCAAATTCGAGGAAAAATCAATGAAAGGGATTTTAATGGGGTACGTACCTAACGGGTATAAAATTTGGGATGTTGAAAAGGAAAATTTTACAATAGCTCGAGAGGTAATAATCGATGAGGTAAATTACAAAGTCATTAAAAGTGACGCCGATTCAATATCCCTGCCCAAAACTAATAAAACCGACTTGAACTCGGAAAAATTAGTAGATGCTGAACATAAAAATATCCAATTAGACCAACAAACATCAAATGAATCAGAAGGCTCTAACCTTAGAAGAAGCGAGAGAATCAAAAATCATCGAAAGCCTCTGTACACTGATGACAACGATCAAGAAATAAATAACGACGTTTATAACAGTCATATATTATGTGCACATACCCTTGTAAAATCAATTCCAAAATTTTACCTAGAAATTAAAACAAGGGATGATCGTTGTCAGTGGGAGGCAGCCATAAAGGATGAAATTGATTCGCTCAATTTAAATAACACTTGTACGCTTGTAAATAAACCCATAGGCAAAAATATAGTAGATTGTAAATGGGTGTTTTCTGTCAAAATTGATGAACAAGGAAATCCCACAAAATATAAAGCAAGATTGGTAGCAAAAGGATTTAGTCAGAAATATTTAATTGATTTTAATGAAACTTTTGCACCAGTCGCCCGCATCACAACATTTAGAGTGATGTTGGCTTTTTCAAATCAGCATAATTTACTTGTTCATCATATGGACGTGAAAACAGCGTTTTTACACGGTACTTTAGATGAGGAAATTTACATGAAAATTCCCGAAGGTCTAAAAGCAGACGTTGATGAAGTTTGCAAATTGAATAAATCAATTTATGGCCTAAAACAATCTTCTAGATGCTGGTATGAACATTTTGATCAAACTATTAAAAAATATAATTTTCAAAGCTCATCAGTTGATCCATGTTTATATTTATTGGATAAAGGAGACATAAGTAGGAATATTTATGTGATTTTATATGTTGATGACATTCTAATTTGTACAGCGAAAAGAGATACAATGTCAGATTTTAAAAATTATCTGATGAGCGAATTTCAAATGAAGGACTTAAAAGATGTTAAACTTTTTTTTGGAATCCGAATCATAAGAACAGAAAACACTATAATTTTAGATCAAACTTATTATTTAAAAACAGTTCTAAATAAATTTCACATGTCCGAATGCAAATCTGTAAGCACACCATTAGAAAATAAATTAAATTATGAGGAACTGAATAGGGATCAGAATTTGAATGTTCCATGCAGAAATTTGATTGGTTGTCTTATGTACGCCATGCTTTGTACAAGGCCAGATCTTTGTATTGCAATAAGTATTCTAAGCAGATTTCAAAGTAAAAGTAATAATGAGCTTTGGGTTTGCTTGAAAAGAGTATTAAGATATGTGAAAGGATCTGTAGATCTTAAATTAACATATAAACGCAATGATAATTATGTCAATATGGTTGAGAGCTATGTTGATTCAGATTGGGGAAATAATGAGCTAAACAGGAAAAGTACTACAGGCTTTTTATTTAAAGTCTTTGAAAATTGTACAATATCCTGGAACTCAAAACAACAATCCTCAGTAGCTGCTTCTTCTACTGAAGCAGAATATATGGCTCTTATTGAGTGTGTTAGGGAAGCGATATGGCTAAGAAATTTATTAGAGAGCATTAATTTCAAAATACAAGCCCCCATAATTATTTACGAAGATAATAATGGTTGCATAAATATAGCAAAGAACCCTATAAATCATAAAAGAACCAAACATATTGACATAAAATATCATTTTACACGTGAACAAATCTTACAGAAAAAAATAGTATTGAAATATATTTCAACAGGTGAACAATTAGCTGATGCGTTTACGAAGCCACTACCAGCAGTAAAGTTTCACATGATAAGATCTAAGACTGGCTTACTGTAGATGTTTTTTTTTTTTTTTTTGATAACTATAATAGTTTTGTATTTTTGTTTTGTCTGTGTTTGAATTTTTTTTTTATATACCTACCAGTTTTTTTTCTTAGAAATAATAAATAAGATATATTTAGGATATAAGGAATGCATATTTATATACTGGTTGAGTCTTTTTTTTGAGTGGGCGTGTTAGAATTATGATTATACAAAAACAAGTCAACCAGGTTCCAAAAGGCAATATGTGGCAATATTAAATTTGTTTTAAAAGCCTGAGAAAAAGCAAATGCCATTATCTACATAATAAAATGTATTATCAGTCGAAACTTATTTAAAGAAAAAGGGTCTGCTTTTATGACTTCTGCTGGCTGGTACCTGGAAGGGTTTTTGTAAACAAGAGAAGTGGTGAGTCACCCTTGAAATGTATAATTTTGCCTGTAAAAATTATGTGAAAAATTAGTCTTAGAGAAACTGGTATCGAATACAGACATATTGAAATTAATCTAGCGTTTTATTTCCCATAAACCACTTAAAGGAAAAATAATAATATTAAATATCACGTGAGTTAAAATGTTTATTCATTCGAAGAAAATTAACCCACTCGCTAGGGCTCGTGGGTTAAACTTTCTTCTCATGAATAAACATTCATTTAACTCACTTGGTGTATAAATAACTAATAATCATCGGGGTTTGATTTTCGTAGCTTTTATAGTAGAGCGGGGAAAAAGTCGAACATGTGTCAAATTTGACAGATGACATCTGTCGATATCGACAAAAGTTTTATCCGAACGAACCCGTTCATTGTCAACTGATTTTAATACTCCGGCCCTTCGGGCCGTTATTTTTGAAACAAAAAGACGTCATTTTATATCGATTGTCAAAAAAATCACGGTCTACTTTGAAATTTCAATTTTTTGACGTTTGTTGTATCATGAGCAGTGTTGCCATATGTTTTTTTTCAAATCACGAGCTCGAAGGGCCGAGATTATAGGTTATTTTAAAGCCAATCAAGAACCGGGAATATTCAAAATTTAAAGCCAATCAAGAGCTGGTAATAATCAAAATTCGAATCCCCAAATCAATCAGGAGGCAGGAAAATTCAAAAATTCGAATTCCAAACCCGACGGGAAACTTAATGTTACTGTTGTAACTGTTGTTACAAATGAATTCATTAAATTTTCATATAAGTGTTGCCACATAAATCTCACCCTAAAACCCACTAAAAAACGACTTGTTTTCTAACCTTTGTTTTTTTGGAAAAAACAAAAGATATTTTTTTTTTGAGATTGACAGCTGTCAAAATTTGAAAAAAACCCACATGGGCATATAGATTTAGCCTCGGCGAATACGTAGGAAGTACCATTTTTTTTTTTAACATATGTCAAAAAAGACGTTCGGCGTTGCCAGGGTGTTGGTTTTTGACATATATTCACTGGCGCCGACTACATGGGGGCATCGGGGCAGGTGCACCCATGAGCAACCTCTCATGGGTGCGGATCACCCATGGGAGCTCTCTGGGGAATGCGGAAGTACAAACGTGTAGTATAGTGAAATTAATAAATTAATGGTTGCAGGTCATCAATGACGTCGAAATTATTGCCAATTGGAGTTTCTGAGAAACTAAAATTCGTTTAAAACTCAGAGCGCATTTTCTCTTTTTTTTTAACCCTAGTTAAAAAGAGATAGAATGCTGTCGGATCATATAACCGAATCTCCCGATAAAATGGGATTTAGGTTGGCACTTGTGGGTAATGTTGTCGAATGTAATACCACAAGAGGTTTCAGGATTACCGGATAATACTTTTACCTGGCACGAAACGCGTTACGCAGCAACACCACGACTCCGAAGGAGGAGTGGTGTTGCTGATAACGCGTTGAGTGTCAGGTAAAAGTATTAGGTAATCCTGAAACATCGAGTGGTATTCAAAAGGTTATACAACGAACTAAACTTCCATACTTTATTAATTTTTATTATTATTAATAGCAAATGAACAATATTGCCACCAAGCGCGATAATCCCAAAAGGCTTATCACTTCTTAAGCCTCTGGTGTCATATGAGAATAATGTACAGTGAGTTGTATAACCAATATAGTTGCCTTCTGCAAATCTTTGGTTATTGATTTTAATATTTTGAGGTTTGTTGTCAGTTTCTAACGAGTCGGGGATTGATAGTTGGGATATATTTTAATTTGCTATAGATTTGCATTGATGGAATTTGGTTTTTTGTTATTATAATTATTCTTATCAATTTATTGATAAAAATGTAACCTGGGAAAATGACAAACTTTATGGGATTTCAAAGTAAAACAAAGTTGATGCGGCAACATTGCGACATGCTAACGTCATAAAGTTTAATTCCCCACATACATTATTAGAATTTTAAGTTAGACAAAATACGTTAACGCTAACGTAAGATTTGACAGCTGCGCATGCGCAGTTTCTTTTTACCAAAAATAGCGTCTTACGTGTCACGTTATTTAACGGGTCTTTGCGTGTACCTTATCCGTAAACGTTCGTTGAACCGAGTGGGCCCGAAAGCCAAATTGCCGGTTTAGACCTTTGCCGAATGTATTTTAACCTTAAAAAAAAGGTATCATGTAATTCAAAATAATCAAAATACAGAAAATAATTTCTAATTTTTCCTTTTCACAACAAAATTTAGAGGTTAGGTCATCATGATTGTGAGATATAACGTTAACGTTTACGTGAAAATTTTACTTAAACTGATTTGTGAGCAGCGACGGTCACTCAACGCTATAGTAAAAAATAGGGTTTACGTTTAAAGATTACGTTAACGTGTTTGGTCCAACTTAAAGTGTCTATTATTTTATTAATTTCCCTATAGTATCAGTGTCATGTAATTTAAATTTATACAATTTTCCCTGAAGTTCTCAAGCTCGAACTCAAACCATTTAATGCACGAAAGCCAGCGCATCTGTTCCTCTCAAATCCGCGCGACTAAAACCGGAGCGAGTAGCTCTAGTGTTTTAAACTCTTGCAAGGAATACAACTATTGAGTGAGTAACCCGGCCGCGTATACATTTTATACCATTATACAGATGAACGCCATTCTATACCGTAGTATGGTTTGTATATGTGAAACGCGCGTATTTTTACTCCAAATCGTACCGCGATAAGATGGACATCACTCTATACTATGGTGGGATATGAAGGTTCAATATGCGTCTATTTCTACTCCAAATCATACCGGGATACGACAGAGTTTTTGCAACAGTATACAATGAAATGCAGAGCGCCGCCACTCTATTTCCTAACAACGCGAACAAAAATTGGCGGCAGTTGTTAAGCCAGCCATGTGCATTTTAGTTCGCTGCATTTATAGATACCTATTGCAATAATTTTGTGTTAATATAAACATCGTTGAAATAGCAATTTCAGATAGAACCAAACATGAATGCCTTAAAGGATATCATCTAAAAAGAGGATGTAATTGAAATTTATAATTACGTTAGTTGCAATGACTACAGCGTCATTATAAGAAGCAAGGATCATCATAAAGATAAGACAAATATGTAGTAAATAGTGATGATTGGATTCGCAGTTTTGGCGTTGGCGCCACCCACAACAAACTGGATTGTTCGATATACTCACCCATCACTGAAAAGTTCATCGTTCATCACAGTAGCAGAATTTAAAAAACGTTTCACTTGAAGAACGAACAAAAGATGTGATGCCAAAATTCCGCAGGAAGAATTCACTAAAATTCCAAGACGGTGTCTGGAAGCGAATACTACTGGATTGAATCAAAGTAACCAGAATTACCTTCTATAATACCATAAAGTTGTAAATAGCCTATAGAAAATAAAGATAAATTACTTTGATTGAGTAGTTATTAATTTGGTATCGTGGTATGATTTGGAGTAGAAATAGGCTTCATATCCTACTATGTTATAGATTGACGTCCATCTGTATCGCGGTATGATTTGGAGTAAATATACGTGCGTTTCACAGATACAAATCATACTACGTTATAGAATGGAATCCATCTGTATAATGGACATAATGGTATAAATCGTTAATACGCAACCCGGCCATAGAGTTATTAGTGATGGCAATGATATATCGATGTTGTGTAAATATCGATATATTACTCAAATATATCGATATTTTATATTCGATATATCGAAAAAAATATCGATTTAATTTTTTCGATATATCGGAACTTTTATAATAATGCCTTCGCCCGTGCGCATAGTTCATTGATTGACAGAGGCGGCTAAAATAAAACAAAACGTTAGTTAGGGCGTGTGCGTAGCAATTAAATAGGGAAAAGGGACTTTCCGCATGATAAAGTAACGTTATTTCTTCACAACCGTGCGGAAAAGTACTTTTCCACACGCATTTTAGGATATGAAAGTACCAGAGTGATCTGACATTGCATAATTATTTAATTTTTACGCACTAGTGTAGAAAAGTAATATTTTCATGGCCTAAAATGCGTGCAGAAAAATGCACCTTTCACACGCCTGCGGCGAGCTTCCCCCTCCCCTGAACACAAATTTATAAAGTTATTATCCTGCACCCATGAGGACTTTCAAAAGTGTCGGCGCCTCTGCATATATCGATGAAACTTTTTATTTTAGGGTTTTCGGAGCCTGGGGATCGTTTTATGACATTTGTTTTTTGAGGAAAAGAAAAGGTAAAAATTTTAGACATTGACAGTTGTCAAAATTTAAAAAAAAAACCCACATGGGCATATAGATTTAGCCTCGGCGAATACTTAGGAAGTAGCCAAACAGGGGACCGGCCAATTTTTTGACTTTTGTTGTATTATAAGCAGTGTTGCCATATGTTTTTTTTCAAATCTCGAATCTGGAAGGCTGAGGTTATCTCAATTATGAGTTCAAAGGGCCGATGTTATACGAGTTCGAAGGGACGGAGTCATGCGAACCCGAAGGGCCGGAGTTATACGAGCCCGACAGACCGGAGTTTTTTTAATCATGAGCCCGAAGGTCCGAGGTTATACAAGCCCGAAGGGCCGGAATTATACGAACCCGTTCTTTGTCAATTCATTTTAATACTTTTACTATATTTTTTAGCCTCCTCACTTGGAAGAAAAGCAGCTCATAATACTGAAATTTCAAATTAATTCGATGAAATATGGCAACATGAGAAAATCTTGAAAATCAACTTAATCTTGAAAAAGCAACTAAAATAAGAAAAATACACCCTTTCACATTATGATGATTTTTCGAAAAACTGTTGATAGGAAAGTTTTGAAACTTTTGGAGTAGAGAGATGAAAAAAAGGAGCTAATCATACTGAAATTTCAAATTAATTCGATGAAAAATGGCAACATGCGAAAATCTTAAAATTCAACTTAAAAAGAACCCAAATATGAAGCAAATCACATTTTGATGATTTTTCGAAAAACTGTTAATGGAAAAATTTCGAAATTTTCACAGTAGAAAGAGAAGTGAAAGGAGCTTATCATACATATTAAAATTGCAAATTGATTCGATGAAAAATGGCAGCATCAGAAAATCTTGAAAAGCAAGCTGGGAAAACCAAATTAGGAAAAATACACTACCCTTTCACATTTTGATGATTTTTCGAAAAACTGTTGATGTGATAGAAAAATTTTGAAACTTCTAGAGTAGAAAGAGGAAAAAAGGGAGCTCATCATACTAAAATTTCAAATTAATTCGATGAAAAATGGCAGCACGAGAAAATCTTGAAATACTATAAATTCATTTTGGCTCCATCTATAATACAAAAGTTTAACTTAACATTGGGTACATTCAGGCGGTGCCAGCGGCTTAGTTTAGCCACTCAGCAGGAACTTTATTCTCGAAACAGGGGAGCAGCGTTCTCATTGGAACGAAGTTTCTGTCTTTGTCGTCCGGCATAACACTGACAATGACAGAGCAATCGTTCTTATGAGAACGCTGTTCTTTGGTTTCGAGAATAGAGTCCCTGCTGAGTGGCTGAGCTTAGCCGCTGGGACCGCCTGAAGGTACCCATTGTACCTACTCACCAACATCGCTGGAAAACATATTGATACAAAAAAAATGCACCGATTCAGTGTGTTTTTAAAACGGTATCGATAAGCAAAACTTAATATTTTCTTATGAAATCTTTGCCTTGCGGTATTCGACTTTTTAATACATACCTACTTTGAATTTTAGTTTACTTGGAAAACCTGTAAATAAATTCATTCTCTTGGAAGCACCTCTGACTTTCATTTACATAAATTGTTGTGAAATTCCTCACAAATTGGAAAATTATAGACTCCTGTTACTGAAAGATAGCACAGTATCAATATCTATCTTGAAAATAAATAAACCTGGATTATCTATTTACCTATATTTACCAGAAATTATTCCGATATACTTATTTTCTGTATCTCACTCTTTCAGTTTTTAGTCGTCCCAAGAGGGAAAGGCAGTCGGATCGTTAACAAACAAAGCAGCCCCACCTGAAGTGGTACCACCAGTTTGCGTCCGACTTGGCGGAACTGGTGTCGGATTACTTTTGTTAATAACAGACCTTGTATTATTGGTTTGAACATTATATTGTTGCTCGACTTGATATTGAGGCTGGCTCCAAGTATTAGCAGATTGTTGCTGGGCCCAAGATGGAGTATGGTCCCAGTCCATGTTTGGAGTCCAACTATAGGTAGATTGATGGTCTTGGCTGAAATGTAATTACATAAACTAATTAGAAGTGCCTACATAGATATGGCGTAGAAAATTTTCAGTTTGCTTTGCTCAAACTTCACTAATTTACAATATTTAATATTCCGAAAGTTTGCCTATGGCATTAAATTTTAATTACTATTGCAAGAACTAGTTTGAGTTTTAGTTAAATAAACTTACAAGATATTTTGATCACTCCTATAGGGAGCAGGGTTAGTAAAATTACCCTTTTCATGATCAGTCACAGTGAGCTCAATGTTACCATCGACGTCTTGTTTTTCTTCCAAAGTACTGTTTTTAATTCCATAGTAGAAATACATTATAAAGCCTAACGTCATCCAAATTGTAAATCGTACCAAAGTAAGTTTGGATAGTTTTAAAATTAAGTAAATATTAACTGTGATTGCTATTGCTGGAACGAATGGTAAACCTGGTGTCATGAAAAGTATTGTATTCCTGAAAAACCAAATTATATATTGTCGGATATTAGATTACTAGAAACACTCACCTATTTTGTGGTTTCCTCGATATCACCAACAACAATCCTAAAATAGCAAAGAAAAACAAAAACAAGAAAACCGTCGTCGCGTTGTTCATATTCTCCATGCCGTTGACGACGATCAAATCGAAAATGATAATTAGCAAATACAAAATACCGACCATTTTCATTACGAACAGGCCGGATTCTTCCGTCGCCGGTCCGGTATCTACCCACGGAAAAATGGCCGGACACAAATAGGTTGCCGCTTGTAATCTTCTTCCGATGTAGCCCAAACTTGGACCGACTGTCGATCCGACGACGCCGCCTGTACTTGCGGTACTACCTGCACCATGTAAAGAACCTACAAGAATAGTAGGAGTTGGATTTTGATTGTAAAACGTGATTATAGAAAAAATCTAGTAGGTATAAGAATTTCTAGAGTAGGTAATTCAGTTTGGAAGAAGATCCTTAGACAATGGGTTACTATATAGGATTATTAAAAAATTCATTATTTACCATAAAATTTATTTTCCGTTCTGTCGGATACTAAGAATTGATCGTCCCTCATCGAATATTCTTCTTCTTGTTCGTCGGCACCGAATGTGTCGTCACTATCTGGAGAACTGCAAGTGAGAAAAGTTAAATATAGGCATGATACATGTAGAAGTAAATTTTCTAAATTTTCATATAAACAAATGTACAGTTGCGATAAAAAAAAAGTAGTACAAAAATTATCAACCCCAATTTGAGCTCCCGGTGTAAGATACAAAATTTTGACAGTAAACAAAGATTTCAAAAAATGTTGGGTTCAGGCAATGACATATTCTAGGTTAAAAACGAGTGGAAAAATGTCAAAGTGATGGCATCTAAAGCTTTCTAGGTTGAAAACTTGTCAAAAAATGCCAAAATATGTCATTTTTGGTTATGAATTAAATTAATGTATAATAGACCAGGAGATTTTGGAAATTTTTCTTGTACGACTTTTTTTTAATCGCAACTGTACATTGGTAGGTGGATCCAGTATACGCCACTAGTGTCATCCTGTTTCGGACAACCCCCTTTACCTTCTCCATTAGAATAAAAATCCCATGTACAAGTCATCTTTAGATAGGGAATGAAGGGCGCTTTCTAAAAATTGCATAAAATATCCAGGTGCGTATTTAAAAAAATTGCGTTGATGATGGATGTCAGCTCGATCACGAAACGTCGGATTTAAAATTTGAAAATGTCATGTTGTAGGTAGAGCAAAAAAAATTAAAAAACTTTCAAATTTAAATTGTGTCTCGAAAATCAATAGTTTTCGAAATAATTAATGAAATATTTTCGTATCATTTAAAAAAATCTCTGGACCCATTTTATAATTTGTAGGTACAGGGTTATTGGTTATAAATGTCACCCCCTCTATCTTTTTTATTTAACATTTTAGAAAAAAGTGTCCCAAATAAAAAAATTATGGTTGAAATTAAATTTTTTGAAAAACTCACTTTTGCATATACAGGGTGTTTCAAAAAAGCTGGTCGTGCTCCAACTTTCTCATTTTAAATTGAATACCCTGTATATTATTTAATATTCGGATTCTACGTCAAATTCTGAGCAGATTTCATATGATATACCCTATACCTAAGTTCAACTGTTTTGGAAATATTGACAGTTGAAAATTGTCTTTTTTGTAAATTTGACAGGCTGTAAAACCTATACGGTTAACTTTTGAGCAAAACCGATCTTACATTTTTTTCTAAGATTTTCACAAGTTATCATTTGACACCAACTTTGAAATTAATCAAAGATTAAATTTAATTTGAATTTTCAATCATGGAAGTTGATGTTAAATATTGGTGTCATCTGATAGTTAAAAAAAATCTAAGACAAAAATGTAAGATCGGTTTTGCTCTAAAATTAACCGTTTAGAATTTACAGCCTGTCAAAGTTGCAAAAAAGTCAATTTTCAACTGTCAATATTTCCAAAACAATTAAACTTAGGTATAGGGTATGTGACATGAAATCTGATCAGAATTTTACGTAGAATCCGAATAGCCAATAATATACAGGGTATTCCATTTGAAATAAGAAATTTGGAGCACGACCAGATTTTCTGAAACACCCTGTATATGCGAAAGTGAGTTTTCCAAAAAATTTAATTTCAACCATAAAACTTTTATTTGAGACACTTTTTTCTAAAATGTCAAATAAAAAAGATAGAGGGGGTAACATTTATAACCAATAACCCTGTACATCATTTCGTACACCTGGCGACATCTATGATTCTTCTGATTAGTTTTCCTAACCTAATACCGAAAATTATGTTATCAAGAGGTTGGTTCGGTTTGCTCACTCCGTGCACTCCGAGTGACTCCATTCGCACTCCAGCCGTTCGGGTTAAGGTTCGGGTATTGCTTTTTACCGTATTAGGGGTGACTCCATTAGCCCTATTCACTCCACTCCAACTCCGCGCTGAATAGCCGAACCCAGCTAAGGTTATTTTTAAGAGAACCTGTAGCGGTCATTTTTATAATTTCGACAGGCTTGACAGATCAAGCAACAAAGGACAGAACCATCTGGGTATTTTTGACTTGTTCTTTTCTATTTTGTCGTAGGACCGAAATGGTCGTCCATATTCTTAATTTCAAAAAATCTTAAAATTCTGTCTTTATTTTTGGCCATCGAGCCAATAGTTTGGTAAATTAACTAGCCAGTAAAGTGATTAATCGTGTCCGCTAGAACGTTTCTTGGATTGTTGATTTTTGTGTAGATTTTGGAAAGTGAGGTTACTATCGGCCGTACAGGTATGTAAATTCCTTTTTTCACTACTAACCTGAGAAGTAGTCATTATTCAATCTATTTTTCTAGGAAAAAAATGAATTTCTCTCCCTAGGTTAATAATGAAAATAATGAAAAAAAAAACCTAGGTCAATAATGAAAATGACGTCATGACGCAAGGATATTGTCATAGCGTTACAGGTTTCTATTGATTTAATTTCAATTTCAAACTGTCAATTTAATCAAAAAAACAGGTTCCTGTATGTATCATAGGAAATTACCATAGATGTTGATAGAGGGCAGCACTTTCAACTAGAAAAAATAATTTGAGCTCAGATTTCAAACTTATTTTTTATTTTCTACTATAGCAGTAGTAAAAAAAATTCTATATATTCCACGGTAGAGAAAGTCAAGTTAACCATTTTCAACTGTCAATATTTCCAAAACAGTTCAACTTAGGTATAGGGTATATCACATGAAATCTGCTCAGAATTTGATGTAGAATCCGAATATTGAATAATATACAGGGTATTCAATTTAAAATAAGAAAGTTGGAGCACGACCAGCTTTTTTGGAACACCCTGTATATGCAAAAGTGAGTTTTTCGAAAAATTTAATTTCAACCATAAATGTTTTATTTGGGACACTTTTTTCTAAAATGTCAAATAAAAAAGATAGAGGGGGGGTGACATTTAAACCAATAACCCTGTACCATAAATAACTATTTTTTCTCTCTGACGAATGAGTCCTTATATTTCTTTAATTCATTCAGGCAACTTTGGGCAGGGCGAAAAATCCTCGCCTGCACTTCTGAGTGAAAATTGACGAATTTGAGATCACGCTGTCCTGGAAACTCAGACTAAATCTGGGCCCTTCTTTCCCAGGAGTGTTGATGTTCTGTAAGAAGTAGATCCCCAACCATTATTTGGTTGCCTCCAGCCAATTTGGTACTTCTAGATCTCAAATTTGTGAAAATCTTCAAGGATTCCATACAGGCTTGTATAATTATTTACCTATGGGTCCCGTAAATGTGCCATATTAAATACCGTTAATTTTTATTACCTTTTCTCTATCGCCCCCTATCGATATTAGCATCTTTGTAAATCTTAATTACCGTTACTTATTATTACCTTTTTTCTATTGCCACTATCGATTAGCTTAATTAACTAATAGTTAATATCTTTATAAAATCAATTACCGACTTGTTTACCGTATAGTAGTATTTGGCTAGAATAGCTAACCACAGTTTAATATAATATATAATTATTAATTTAATTAATTAATTATTATCATAATCAGATAATTACCTTTATTAACGTTTTCTTTATCATTATCTAGTATTCTAGTATCTAACAATTATGGATTATTATAATTATTACAAATTTATTTCTTTTATATCGGATACTGGTCAATATAATATATTGAGGATTCATTAACCTTTCAAAGGTTAATTTAACTTTTAATTTCAAATCAATAAGGTAGGCTAGTAAAACTAAGGTGTTTACATGGGGCAACCCGAAACAAATTTGGGACAAGCTGAAATTTTCAGGATACTTTTTTTAGGTGGTCGACAATGTTTCCTTAAAAATCGCACTAAATCGCATCGGCCGTACTCGCCTAATCGGGCTTTAAACTCAAAAAATTGTGTTTTTTTTTTATTTCTTTGGAAATATCTCAAAAACTGTAAACTTTTTTGAAAATCTACAACAGATCAAAATTGTTACCAATAAAAATACCTACAAAATCATTTTTTGTTTTTGGAAATCGGTCTAAAAACAAAGAACTTATGGGCCTTTAAATAATGGGCCAATACGGCTTGAGCTCCAATTATATCTAAAAATTCAACGATTTTGGTTAAATAAGTGAAAATATAATAGATTTATTGGAAATGTAATACAATCAGGTAATTGCACGCCAAAAACTTTGCAGTAACTTTGAGCTAGCTTCTTTACCCCCGACAACTGAAGCTGCTCAATTACATCTTAAAAGGGTTTACCTCCAGGTGCAGTCATGGTTGGGAAATAATTTAGACCCAAGAGAGTGGGGTTGGGTGGAAAAGGACGGTTACTAAAATTATTATTTTGCGGATGCAAGTCAGTTTGCTCCAAAACTTGTACCTGCAAAAAGGTAGGAATGAAATATTCATCAAGCTGTACAATTTGCATTGGACAGTATTGTGACAATGCTACGAATGTGTCTTTTGTTGAAAATGATGATGGCATAGAATTTTTTTTTTCTTCTATTAAATTTTGCGTTAATGAAGTGAGTTAGTGCCTATACTTGTATATGACCGTATGACAAGGTCACAACTTTTGTACCAAATTTCATAAAAAATACAACTGGTCTAATTCTTTAAAAAGTGCCATTTTGGTACCAAATTTGATACTGGACTTTAGTTTTAATAGTATGTTCCGATTTCCATAATATTATTTGAGATTATTATTAAACGAGTAAATAGCAGCACATTTTGTCAAGAGTATTATTTACTTATTTTTGCATTCAACCCATTACCTAATAGCTTTTTATGTACCAAGGGGATTATGTAGATTATAATGCCCGAAGGCGAAACTAGCTCGAGGGCCTCTGGCCCGAGGGATATATTTCGCCTGAGAGGCATTATAATCTAAAAATTCCCGTGGTGCATACAATGCTTTATTTTCTACTCAACACAATGTTCTTCATCAATTTAGTACCTATCAAACAAAATCAGTTAAACTTGTGTGACAGAATATTGTTTTGTATTTTGACATGCACCTGTACCTAGAAACGAAACAATTTAATATATCTATAAACATTGATGGTAGACAGGGTTCAAATCCTGGCCAGACCGAAAATTATTTTCGGTCGGACATTTAGTGGTGGCTTAGGGTAAAGTGCAAATTAATAAAACAACAACAACAAAAACACCTCACGGTATTATAAGCGGGCGTTATAGATCATAACGCCCGCTAGGCTTATAATGCCCTCAGGTTGTTATAGGTATGTTAACGTATTTCGTTTCCTAGGTATTATGAATCTATAATAGTTAAGTAGAAAATAAAATATCAAATCATACCTAGTGATTTGTATACAATTTTACACACTGGTTTTATATGACAACTACTATATTTCTTTTATGAAAAACATTCAAATAATTTGCGTCAGCGTTAATAAAGTCGAATTTGTTAAAAGCAGTTAATAGAATCGAAGCCCAATCCGCCGAATTTTTATAAGCCCATAACTTTTTTGTTTTTAGACCGATTTTCAAAAACAAAAAATGATTTTGTAGGTATTTTTATTGGCAACAATTTTGTTTTCTTGTAGATTTTCAAAAAAGTTTATAGTTTTTGAGATATTTCCAAAGAAATAAAAAAAAAAAAATACACAATTTTATGAGTTTAAAGCCAGATTGGACGAGTACGGCCCATGCGATTTAGTGCGATTTTTAAGGAAAAATTGTCGACCACCTAAAGAAGGTTTCCTGAACCAAATTTGTTCCGGGTTGGACCCCTAATTTTATTGGCCTAAGGTGGTAGTTTCACAAGGTAAACCAATGTAAAATCTTTAGGTAGTTAAAGTTAAGTTATATGGTTACATATTTTGAATTTTAATTACAGGTAAGATGGTAGAGCTCTCCCCGATACCCTTGATTACAGGTTTTTGATATTCATAACTCCCTAGGGATTATTTATATTTATTACCTTTCTGTTTTTATACATTTGTTATTTTATTGATTTGATTGACTTTGAGTCAAAAATTAAAGGTTAATGGTATTATGACTTTTGCATTTATACTTAGGTAAATTTCATCGTGGGTATTTGTTAAATTGTTTTTGAATTTCAATCCTTTAATATACTTATTTAAATTAAGTTTAGCTTTTGAAAAGCTGCTTAATTTTTTTTTAAATTTGGATACTGAGCAATATTTTTCTTTGAACTATTAAAACAACAAGTTCGCCACCTTGTCACAAATTTTCGACATTTGGTTAATAAATTATTGTTTTTAGAATTCCACAACTTGTGTTTTTATTAAATGGGTTAAATGTCAGATAGCTATTGGATTTTGGATTTATTTTACCTTTTCAGATTTTTAAATTTATCTTTTCAAATAATAGCTAACTATTTGAATAGTGTCTAGTTTGGCTATTCTTTTATAATAAAAATAATTTTATACAAACTAGTGGCGCCCTCTCTCTACTGTACCAACACCAAGGACCACCCCAAGTTAAACAACCACTGAGCATAGTCGAGCACAGATTATGAGCATTCTTTTGTTTCGACAAAAGAGCGTTACAACTTTCATTCACATGCCGACGATCTCATTCTTACAAACTCTCATACTGTCTTTTGCAATACTTCACTTACCTACGAGTTACTCTCCTAACCATCACTCGTTGAGTCGGTTGAAGTGGAAGAGGCGAAGAAGAAGGAGTCGGAGCGTGCGGAATATCCAAACTCGAGTCTATTGCTTGTTTCAGTGCATCTGGAGCCAGTTGATTTCCATACAAAGCTAAATATAATTTGTAAATAAAATTTGAAACTATTGAATATGGGGTAGTTACCTGCTGTTCCATTTGGACTCTGTTGTATACCATCTTTGGAAGGTGAGCCTCGTAAAGGCGTACGAAGACTTTGAGGAAGTAATTCAACCAAATTGGTCGAATGTGGTTGGTATCGTAGAATCAGTACGCAGGTTGATACTAATGTGTAGGCTAGGAGAGTACCTGAAATTTCAGTATATCAGCATAATTAATATAATACCAAAAAAGTTTGTGATATGTGATAATAATTATAAGTCAAAGATTTTTGCAAGTTGATTATTTTTCTCATCCATGTCTACGAAGAGCTTGGAATAAAAATATAATGAAAGTAAACAATCAAATATCTGATATTAATAATTCCGGGTGCTACATCACTACAATCGGTTGCAGCTGGCACTGATGTAAATATGGCCTACTAGATCAAAATTTTGACATTGTAATGACCCGGGAAAAATTTACAATTGTCTTAACAGTAAAAATTAAATGCAATCATATAATATCAATAAAACTGGAAAATGACGAGACAAATTAGCGTTGACCCCAAATTAATTAAAATATTTAAAACACGTTTAATTTCTAATAGCCAGTCATAAGGCGTGTGTCATGAAGTTAGTTGAACTCGTAAATCAAACCCCGGACAAGATTAAATACAAGGTTACGTATCTACTTAAATTAGGTCCCAAAATGACAGAAATTTCAAAAGATCGTATGATTTATTGACGACACGAGTCGGGTTTTCCTTGAATTAAGTGCTTCTACATTCTTTCCCATTTCATTGACCCCAAATTATCATACAATTTCGACACAGATTTCGTCATCATTCAATGAGCAAGTTAAAATTTTTGGAATAATATCTAGGTCGACCAATAGGATTGAATTACAGATGGTCAAATGACCGCCTATCAGGTCGATTGTGGTGGGTAAATAATAGTATAAGAGGGGCCACCGTTCAAGTAGAGAGAATCAGTTTAAGTCCAGTTGAGTCTTCAGTTTAGTCTTGAGCTTAAGTCTCCAGTACCTAATGAGTCAGTGCGGATAAAATTCGCAAAGAGTTCCTTTTATTTTGTTACCTCGGGAAAACACGTTAAATCGAATTTTTTAAAAAGTAACGAAAAATTGTGAAAGAAAGAACATTTAAATTTGTTCAACATTATGTACGAGCTCTAAATAATCAAAAGAAATTAGGATAATTGAGTGATTTCAAGAACGATAATTAAAATGTAAGTACTCTAGTGACAAGTTTTATTTTGACTATCAATGTTGAAATGACTATGAAGTGAATCGACTATGAAACTTTATTGCATGAATATTATTAACTTGAGTAAATTGACTTTGAATATTTTTGTGCTTAGTATAGATAGAGAAATTTAAATCAAATGACTGTTAATTGAAATGAATTTTACTGAAGAGTTTGAGTAATGATAGAGTACTTGGCGCGGATACTACAACATCCAGAAATAGCAATTTCCTACTCCTGCCGAAGAAATTCCTTTATGGAGAACAGCTCAAAGATTCAGTGACTAGAATAATTTAGTGAAATTAAAAAAAAATTGTGAGTAAGTACTTACAAGTAAAAAAATCGAGACTTTAGTTATTTAACCAACTATTGCAATGTAAAGTGAATTGAATGAAATCACTTATAATCAAATTCGAAAGCCTCTTACCTATAGACATCATCTCCACTAAAATCTCTAAACGTATAAACAGTGCAGCTACAGCCGCCGCCAGTCCACTACAGAAAGTCGCCAGTGCAGGAGTGCCAGTACTAGGCCAAACTTGAGAAAATGTTCTAGAAAACAAATAAATTTACTAAATAATAAAAAAACGAAAAACTCTTACCTGAAAATCAGGCCGTCCTGGGCCATAGCATAAATAATTCTGGGCATCGGGAACATGGAACCGAACATGGAAACTGTAAGACCGGCCAAAGCACCCACGGCCACAATGTATTTACAACGGAAGGCACCGACTTGACCGAACATTTCCACTAGGGCCGAATCCGGATCTACTTCATTGTATGGAACTAGAAAAAGAGGATTTTTACTTTTCTATTCGGGAGCACAATTATCTCGTTGCAGCTTTGCATATAAATTTTTAATGATGCTTTGTCGAGACAGAGCTTTCTATCGATTTTCAAACTTGAATAGGTTAACAAGCAAACAAATACTGAATTTTTAAATTTAAATGTCTACTTTTAACTATAATTTGATTGTTGGTTTGTAAATTCTCATACATTAACTTGATTACAGAGCTTCGATGTGTGTTATTTTTCATTTATATATTGGAAATTCTCACCTATTAAAGTAAGCATCATGGAACTGGTAACGTAGGCGGTCAATATGATTCCCAGACTGGATATAATTGCAAGAGGAATGGATTTTTTGGGCGTTGCAGCTTCTTCTCCGGTCGTCGCTATGATATCGAAACCTATAAAAGCGTAAAAACACGTTGCCGCTCCAGTAAATACCTAAAAAAATAATAATCGTTTAAAGCTTTTCCTATTTTACAAGTGAGCAAACTTTTCTTAAACCCACAATTAAATTTCCGCAACTCAAATATAACTTTTAAACTTTTAATATTATAGAGTAATGAAATTAAAAATGAAATTTATTCTTACTCCAGGCCATCCTTTCGCCAAAAATCCTTCGTGCTTGGTCCAGTTGTCGGTATTTACATAAAACAGCCCGGCACTCATGATAAAAACCCAAACGGAAAAATTAATAACATTCAAAATATTGTTAAAAATCAGCGACTTTTTCACACCAGCAGCCAATACTATCGTCATTAGAAGCGTAATCACAAACGCAACATAATCTGGATCCCTTCCTAAAAAAAAAAACAACAATAACTTATTTCATTACAAACAAATAATTATTAGGTACCAATAAAGTCTCCAAATCTGGTATGCAAAGCTTTGGACATGGCTCCGTTGGCCAGGGCGTCGAAGCAGGCGCTCAGAGCGCAGGCGCAGGCACTAGTACCGATCAGGTACTCTAGGATCATGTTCCAGCCGATTATAAAGGCCACGAACTCGCCCACGGTGACGTACGAGTACATGTATGCTGATCCTGTTGTGTGCGGTACTCGGACACCGAATTCTGCATAACAGGCACCTGAAATAAAAATGCTGATGGTTATAAGAAGCAAAAATGGAACAAGAAAAATATTATCAAGAACTTGTTATCACAGCTATCAGACCAATAACCACCTCTACCACGTGAATGAAAACTCCCTTCCAGCAGAGCCATCATACCTCTATCCACCTCCACTGTAAACCCCCTTCCGTGAAGCTTCTACCCTAAAATCCCCCACTTTGAGCCCTACAAAAGAAATTATTTTACTGCCAAAACCTCACACTCTTAAGAATCTCCAGTTCATTACCGTTTACAACACAATTTCAAGTAACACCAAGTTCATACAAAGTTCAGTTGTTAGTTTAGTGATAACCAAAACAAATGTTGCCTCCAGCATTAGTGATACAAGTTTCAGAGATCCAAATTAGTTTTCTCAGTCACCTAAATGAACTTTTTGAGTCTCCAAGTTTATCAATTTATGATTCGTATTTCCTTATTTGAAGCTCATGTTCATAGAATTTATAATAATTATCTAGAACATGTAGTACCGATGGTTCCTCTAACAATTAAGAAGAATGCCAATTTGAAAATAGTATCATTTGCAGTATTTGTAAAGAAAAATTCAATCTCTTGGAAAAAAAAGTAAGGGATCACGATCGTTTAACTGGAAAATACCGAAGTGTAGCACATAATATTTGTAATTTAAACTACAAGCTCACCAGTTTTATTCCTATATTTTTTCACAATCTAACGGGATATGATAGCCATCTGTTCATCAAACAACTTTGTTGTGAAAATGATGATATTGATATTCTTGCACAAACTAGAGAAAAATACATTTCATTCACAAAGTCAATATTGGTTGACAAAATTGAACAAAATGATAAAAAGTTAAATATGCTTTTATTAGGCTCTGATTTTTAGATTCTTTCCGTTTTGTCGCTAGTTCATTAGAGAGTCTTGGTAATTAATAGCTTAGATAACAATCAATGTGTAAAAATTAGAAGATATTTTCAAGATTCTAATCAGTTTAATGAAAATAGAAAAAAAGGAATTTATCCTTATTCTTATGCAGACTCCTTAGACAAATTAAATGAAACCCAACTTCCAAGTATTGAACACTTTCATGATAAACTTAAAGATACACCTTTAGATCCTTCAGATTATGAACGAACTATTCATATTTGGATTTTGTCATCAAAACCTAAGGGATTACGCTGAGATATATTTATTATCAGATGTTCTCATATTGACGGACTTTTTTGAGGCTTTTTGAAATGTATCCCTCAATATATTATACGAATTAGATCCTGCACAATACTTTACGGCACCTGGGTTATCTTAGGATGCCATGTTGAGATTTACAAGGGTTAAATAAGAATTATTACCAGACATTGAAATGTTACACTTTTTCAAAAACAGTATTAGGGGTGGAATATGTCATTGTAGTCATTCGAGAAGCTGAGGCTGATCATCTATTTCTTCCAAATTTTGATTCCACGGAACCCAATTCGTTTATTATATATTTGAATGCAACTAATCTTTATGGTCATAGTATGTGTCAATGTTCACCTACAAGTGATTTTTCTTGGATGACTAATGAGGAAATAGATTCTCTTGATGTTCTATCCATACCAAATTATTCTGAATATGGATACGTATTTGAAGTAGATATCAAATATCCCCTAAATTTACATAAAAGGCATAATGAATTACCGTTTTCAGCTGAAAATATATAGTAGTCCACCAGATTCAAATCAGAAAAATTAATTTGCAGTTTAAATCACAAAGAAAAATACGCAATTCATCATAGAAATCTCAAACAAGCAATTGAAAATGGAAATTTCACAAATTTAAACAATCTGCATTTCTTAAACAATCTGCATTTCTTAAACCTTATTAGATATTATTAACCCATTGGAAAAATATTAATTATGAACAGGTAGCTGAATCACTTATAGCTAAAACCTCAATGGTATAACATTACAAAAAATAAATCTATTATAAGTCGTATGAAAGACGAATTTGCAGATCAACCAATTGTCAGTTTTTATGGAACAGGTGCGAAAACCTATTACGTTAATTTGCAAAATAGATCTGAGAAATAAGCAAAAGGTATAAAAAAATATGTGAAGATTATAAAGACGTAGTTGGAAATTCTGATATCAAATTTAGAAAAATGAATGTCTCCCATTCAAGTTTGCATAACTTGCACACACAATTAAAAAATAAAATTGCTTTATCTCCTAATGTCTATAGAGGAACAACAATTCATTTTTGAGACTTTTTCAGCGTTGGTGGTGGTCAATAATTCTACTCAACTACTATTTTTGCAATATAACTTTGATATAGTCCTTTCACAATAATGTTCTGCTTTTAATTTTAAATCCTTTCAAATCCCATGAAGTTTAGAACACTATCAAGGAATACAAATGCAGGAATTGTTTAAATATTCTTTAGTTCTCAAGAGAGTGAAGGGATATGGAAAGAGGTACCTCTTCAAAGTAGAAGCTTTTTGACGTAGTAGAGGTGAGTATTGCTCTGTTAGCTGTGAGGTGGGTATTGGTCTGATAGCTGAAGGTACTTGAACCTGGGAACTTTTTCGATACCGTGGGAAAATCTCTAGATCGACGGGGCACTTGAGCCTGGGAAGTTTTTTGATACCGTGGGAAAATTCTAGATCGGCGGCGCCTTTGTTCTGAAATTTTGGGAATTTGACCCAAAATTGACGCATACAAATGGAAGAATTGGTCTTTTAGTTTTCATAAAAAAAGGAGGGATATACAAAATTGCCTCCTCAGGGTAGGAGCTTCACGGAATGAGGTTTACAGTGGAGGTGGGTAGTGGTATGATGACTGTGCTGGAGGGGGGTTTTTGCGTGGTAGAGATGGATATTGGTCTGATAGCTGTGAAAACACTCTACTCTTGTTGCTGAGTTCAGTACTAATGGGCTAAAAGTACTGGTATAGTTCTTCAAGCAACTATTTGGAAAACAACAAACTTTTAGAAGAGAACTAACAAAAGCTAACGTGTTGATTCAGATTTTTGATTAATAGCAAATTTATCCAAAACCCAGAACCAAATAGAATGTAAAAACACTGAATCATGATTACTTTACATGTTGAATATTTTCTCAAATAGATTGCCTTTGATGTAAATTTTACGTTCATAGAAACCCAATTGTGCATTTTCCGCTATAAAACTCCTACGCCTTTGGATTTTACTTTATACTCACTGAAAAATTAAACTTTGTTTAAAATTACAAAGCGAAATACTTGCTGGAATATTTTCAAAGTCTCGTTTTGTTTTTGACGTGTTTTCAAACGCTTTCATATTTTTGCATAAGCTCTTAATGCCATAGTGTCGAGGCAAATTAAGGCTCAATTTAGCGAGCGTCAATTTGTTGTTTAGTTTTAATTGGTTTTCAATTTAAACTTGGATTATTCAAAAAAATTATAGAGTTTTTCTGTATAGGGTCTGATACTGAATATATAAATATGTTGTTCAGTATTCATAATTAAAAAGCTTCAAATCAAATTGTTAATCTTATGAAAATGTTCCGACCCATGATATTTCAAATCTGAATCGTTACTGGGTCTTGATTTCCTTCAGAGAAAGTTTCTAGTGATTCAAAAGTCAGTAATCATCAAAATTTGAACTATTCTCGGCTCTTTATTTCGTTAGGAAAAGTTTTCTAGTGATTCAAGCTCCAGTTATAATCAAACTTTTGGCTAGAAAAATGTTCCAGCCGATAATAATTTAAATCTGAACCGTTAATGGGTCTTGATTTCCTTCAGAGAAATTTTCTTGTGATTCAAAAGCTAGTGATTATCAAAATTTGAACTCTTGAGAGGCTCTAGGAAAAATGTCCAACGTCTCAAGAACCGATAATAATAAGAATTTCTATTTTAATAAAGCCAAATTTGAAAAATCAAATCAGCGAATAAAATCAATTACAAATTGAGAACAAAATGGTGAATTTACAAAAGAAATATTTCAAAAGGGTTGCTACATCAAAGATTCAAATAATCAAATGATTATTCTAGGCTCATGAAGAGAATCAACCAATTACTATTGAAAATAATTTTCTGAAGAATTCTGTCTACTTAAGGTGCCTTTAGATTCAAAATTTGTATAGGTTTCTGGCAATTTAGGGGTTTCAATAACTTCTCCTTTTCAACTCACAACTCACGAAATCTCTCCCATCGTGTCACTAACTCAATATCCATCCAATAATTCGCACCAGCCAGCTGATTACATTTCAAGACACTTTCAAAGAATAACAAAAAGCTTAAATGCACCTTCAAAGCCAAGATTTTCTCGTTCCAAAACACCCACTTGAGCTCTAAATTAAATTTAACAAACAAAAAAAAATCCCTTTCAGAGAGGCTGCAAAAATTAATTAACGCTTTTCAATTTCGACGCGTTTTCGTAAGACGTAAAACCGTTTTATTATTTCAGGCGGCATGGAAAACATACCAAACCACCTTCTTTGGAAAATTAATGGTCCAAAATAAAAAAGTTAAAATGTTGTAAAATGCAACTGGACCTGCTTCTCATAGAAGGTAATTTTTATACCTTCCATTTTAAATCCAATTTGGAATTAGCTCATGCCTAAAATATGTGTATATCATATCCATTAAGTTATGTTTAATGTAGCTACGTGCTCCAATAAAGCCTTTTCAAACGAAACTACTGACTTAAAAGGGATAACAAAAGCGTGCTTACGAAAATATTGTCTTTGACAATTTTGCCTTGAAGGCGATTCTCATTTTTATTCGACTTGAACGAAAGCAAATATTTAGTCTGCAGTTGAGTTGATTTTGTGAAACGGTGTAACTTTCTTTACGTTATTGACAAAATGTATTTTTTTTCTAAATTATATGTGGTAAATCCTACTTGAATCAATATATTTCCCCTCATTTGTTTTGGGAAAATTTCCACCGCCCACGTTTTATTTTAATGTTCCCAGGCCGAACGTAATCCAGTATTATCGCATCATAAACGAAACGGCCCATTAACCTTAATGGATCTTGAAGCTATATTCAAGATGTTTCCTGGAAATTTAGGAGGAAAATTTAATAGGGCTGTTTCCCCGTCCGTTTCATGTTTTGCCAAATAATTATTTCAGTAAATTGTAAAGTATTTTTATCTCAACAGTGTTCAGGACTTTGCCAAGGCAAACAAGCCTCGAGAGTTTTAGAGATTCCACAGACACAATTAAAAAGAAACAAATCTATCCAAACAAAAACATTATTCCAACTTCGTGCTGGTGAATAAGCTGAAATACCGAAATAATATTGTGTTTTCCAATTTCGCTTTGCTTGTTTTGTAACTTCAATAAACATTTGGTTAATTCGGTGAAAAGCTATGAAAAAATGGCAATCATTTCTGGCAAAATTATGCACAAAATGACGAACTTTGTATCATGTTTCTAAACCTATATTGTAAATTACAATAACAGTGTGCTCTAATTACTACAATCCACAATTAGCGATGTCACAATCATCGTACATAATTCAACAAGAGTGTCAGAGGTCTCCCTCAACATGCATGTTTCAATTAGGGCTTAGCCCTTCCGGGGCCCCGATTTTAACCGAATTAACTCTTACAACGCATTATCATTTGGGAATTATTATGAACGGTAATTAAATAGAGTACTAATTTCTATTGAAACAAATGATGATTTTTGATTGTTCATTTTAAAACTTACCACCCCTATTATCTCGGAATTTGAAATTTTCGAAAAAGTCCCTGAAACACATCAGCTATAATTTAAAGGTGGATGAGTTTTTATGCAAAATTCAACTCCCCCCTTTCAACCCCCCAGCTTCTAGAGCCACCCCCTAGAAAATCTTAAATGGGAAGGGGGGTCAAGCGATACATAATTTTGGAGGGTTTTTCTCTGTACTCAATGGGATTTTTCATGCGTTTTTGAGGATCGGATTTCAGATTTGGTTAAGTTTTAGTGTTTCTTCTTTCCTGTTAAGGTTCTCCGTATGTTTTTGGATTTCTATAGCTTCACATACAAGACGATTGTGGTATTCGGAAGTCGGTGCAAGATGCTTGACCTCACCAAAGAGTATTTCATGATTCCCTTCACTAAGCGCATGTTCCACAACTGCCGATTTTTTCGATTGTCTTAGTCTGTAGTTTCTTTTGTGCTCGTTCATCCTGGTTCCCATGGATCTTTTTGTTGTTCCTATGTATACCTTACCACATGTGCATGGTATACGATAGACTCCAGCAAATGACAATGGATTCCTCTTCTCCTTGGCTGATCTGATTGATTGCTGTATATTCCTTGTTGGCTTGAAGATTGTTTTTAGGTTGTGTTTCTTCAAGACTTTCCCTATCCTCTCTGTCACCCGAGAAATGAAAGGCAGATATGCATTAGCCACCACTCGTTGTTCATCTACGATTTCAGATGCATTGTAACCATTTGATAGAAAGGCCGACTTGAGGTGATCCAGTTCTTGCCCGAGATGTTGTGGCTCGCAGATGTTTCGAGCACGTTCTGATAACGTTGGTATAATTTCACGTTTTTGCCTTGGATGGTGTTTTGAGAGTGCATGCAGGTACCTGTCTGTGTGTGTAGGTTTTTGGTACACCGTGTGGCTTATTTTTCTTCCAGATTTCTTTATGAACACATCTAAGAAGGCGATTTTTTGGTTTTTCTCCTTTTCCATAGAGAATTCTATGCTAGGATGTTGCTCGTTCAGGTGGCCTAGAAACTGGTTAAGCTTCTCTTCCCCATGACTCCGAACCACAAAAGTATCATCTACATATCGAAGCCATACCGTTGGTTTGTGGTCAAAAGATTCGATAGCTTTCCTCTCGAAATTCTCCATAAAGAAGTTGGCCATGACCGGGCTGAGCGAACTTCCCATAGCTACACCGTCCGTTTGCTCATAGAAATCGATGTTCCACAGGAAGTAACTACCAGTGAGACATGTCCGGAAAAGCTCAACTATGTCATTGGGGAAGCTACTTGATATTCTATCAATGGCACTTGTGAATAGGGACACGACATCAAAGCTGACCAGGATATCCTTAGGATGAAAAATAATATCCCTAATTTTCCGGTTAAAGTGAGTGGAGTCCTTGACGCAAGAGCTAGTTTTTCCTACATGCGGTTGAAGAAGCGATGCAAAATGTTTCGCTAGGTTGTACGTTGGTGCTCCAGGTGCACTCACTATAGGTCTTAGCGAGACTTCCGGTTTGTGAATTTTGGGTAGGCCGTAGAGTCATGGGGGAACTGCTTCTGTTTTTATGATACCTTTCTTAACCGTGTCTGTTAGGGTAGATGACCTAATCAGTTTGTTGGTGTTCCGGAGTATAGCTCAGGTAGGATCCTTCTTTAGCTTTTGATAGGTAGATGAATCAAGGAGTTTCTGAATTTTCCGGTTGTAGGGTTGTAGTCTTCAGTTCTTATCAGAACAGTTGCGTTGCCCTTATCCGCAGATAGGATGATCATATCTTCCGCTGAATTCAGGTTCTTAATTGCCATTAGTTCCTTCTTAGAGAGTTTACTGGTTGGTGGTCGAGTTTTCCGTAGAATGTTGGACGTCTCAGTACGGTTATTTTCCACTTCCACATCAGGTAGTGCTCTGATGGCTGCTTCAGTGCTGGTTATAATCTCCTCCATTTGCAGGTGTTGTGAAGTGATTGCGAAATTCCCGCCTTTTGCCAAGACGGCTGTTTCCTCTTCGGTAAGAACTCGATCCGTGAGATTGATAACCAGTCTGGATCACTCAGGTGCTGGGGAATTTCGGATTTGTTTTTTACAGAACTTCTCGTATTTTCGAAGCTGAGCTCTTTTACTCCGGTTTAACTCATTATTCATACTTGAGTATGAGATGGTATCATTGAGTATGAGATGGTATCATTGAGTATGAGATGGTATCAATTTTGTTCCATTCCTTTGCCTGAATTTTGTTGCTGAGCGTCAGATGTAGGTGAAGTAGTTCTCTGTCTACTTCAGCCAGATCCTTCCTTGTTTTATGGATTCGCTCTCGGTGAAATGCTTTTTCAGTTCTGGAGTAGATGCGATGTGCTTGGGGTGTCTTGAAGGAGCGCTTGATTTGCAAGAACGCTGGATAGAACCAGGTATTAATATTTACTATCAAAATGTATGGAATTAAAAACCCTCCAAAATGATGTATCCCTTCCCATTTAAAATTTTCTAGGGGGTGGCTCTGGGGGCTGGGGGTTTCTAAAGGGGGAGGTGATTTTTGCATTAAAACTCATCCTCCCTCAAATTATAGTTGACGTGTTCCGAGGATTTTTTCGAAAATTTTTCAACTCCGATGGTAAGTTTTAAAATGAACACCCTGTATATAGAAACTATGAAATAGCTTATTCTGTTTCAAAGCGTAAGTATACATTTTCACAGTCACAAACTTTAGCACAAGTTTTGACCCGCAAAGCCAAAAGTTCAGTCAACTAATTTCGAAACCGCGCGTTTCCAGTTGCTCGTCCTCGCAGCAAGGACTGTTTAATTACACACATTACCACAAAGTCCTCTTATTTATGCAGCAATTACTTTGAGGTCGGTGTATATATAAAACTACGGAGACGAAATTGACTTTTTTGTTAGGGGTTTTATTAGAGCTACAGCTGTTCGGATATTTCATCACGTCTTGGGAATATTATATTGGGTCAGAGAGCAGCTGCTGGAGTTTGATTTTTCTTTGAAAATAATACGAATTGCCATCAAATATGTATTAGATTTGTTAAAAATTACAAATTATTCTTACCTGAAAATATGCTGGCTATGGCAGCTATAACAAAACTGATTACTACACCGGGTCCAGCTACGTTTTTCGCCACCATTCCAGCTACTAGATACATTCCGGTACCGACGCAACTGCCCACACCTAACGACGTGAGATCTAGAGTTGTCAGACATTTCTGAAATAGAGAATCAAATTCAAGTTTTCTGCTACAAAATCTGCTCCAAATCCCCCCCTATTTTTGCGGATTACTCTTATCCTGGATATTTTTATAGAAATCAGTTGTGCAGCAAGTTAATTTATCTTTCAACTTCAGTTCGGTTTTTCAAACCTCACTAGTTTTGTATTGAATACATGCCTCAAAGGCAGAATTTTATTTTTATTCCAAAATGTACCTTTTGCCCACGTTTACTCTATCCTCAGTTAAAATTATTGGAAGCGCATTAGTGATTGCGCTTCAATCAAATTACTGTTCTGACCGGTGCTAAATTCAAATTGCGATAAAATTTCCAATTCAATTTCCTTTCGCGAAATCCAATATGGGAAGTTTTAATGGGAGGAAATAACTAATAAAAATGTCTGCATAGGAATAAAGGCGCGCCCGGTTTCTTCGTCTAGAGTCTGGGTTTTTTTTAATCCGTTTAATGAGGAAACATTCTGGGAATACGCATTGCGGATGTCATTATTTCCGGAGTGTCTGAAATAAAACGAATTGTCGGACTGACTTTTTAACGTGGCTTGTGTTCCCTTTCATTTTTGCTGCCCTCAAACAAAAAAACTTCTGAAGGGTCTTTGACGTGTTTAAGATCCCGGAAAAGATAAATCTCCATTCATCTTACTATTCCAGACTTTTAACTGTTTCTTGATTCTTCTATAAAAAGAAATTTTATTCCCGTCATTTCACCTTTCCTGGATTATTAGGTGAAAAAATTTTTGGATGAAAGCAGAAATTCAAGAGCCTAGAATAGTTGAATATTGAGACTAAAGAGGAGAGAAATAGAGAAAAAATGTTCAGGGAAATTTGATACAGACTATTTCTTGATTCTTTTATGGAAAGAAATTTTATTTTAGGCCTTTGATTGTTCCCTATGTCTTCTGTAAAAATAAATTTGGATGGAAACAGAAATTCAAGAGCCTGAAATAGTTAAAACTTGAAACTAAAGACAAGGGAAATAGAGTTTTAAGGAAATTTTATCATTTTTCTTTTCGGGTCTAAAACACATTAGGTCCCTAAAAATGGACAATTTTTCTATGTTCAAATTTGCATTGGAGCAATTATTAGGACATAATGAAGAAAAAAGAAATATGGATGGGTTCATTTTTTCGATAAATAATATATTATTTAAATATACATTCCTACATACCTACTATAGGAAAATAAAACAAATCATAACTGAAAATCACAAATACATGAAAATTTTAAAATAAAATAAAGCCAATCTCAAAATAACATCAATTTATAATTTGGAAATGAAAATATAGGTACCTACTATAGCAAAATAAAACAAATCTACTACATCTCACTTTATGACACCGTAAATTAGATCTTAAAAGTCCCCATTGTTGTAAAAAATGTAAAACATCAGCATTCTCGCTATTCCGACCAAAACCTGCATAGGTACATGTCTTCTATAGTATGAATACCTATCCATGATCAAGTGTCAGAAAATACACAAATTTATAACTTCTTCACTTAGAATAGCACCAAACAAAATTGAATTTGTCCGATGTTTTGGTCTCGTTTGTTATGAAAATCTAAAATTTAACACACACAATAAAACACCAACTTTCAATAATATCAAACCAGCCTAACACCATCACTCAAAAATCAGTTAAAAACCTCTCCATAAACATTAAATATTGTAAATATGGGGGTATGCTGATTTTGCCATAAAATAGCTAGAAATCTATTAAAGTAAACAAAATAAATAAACAAAATAATAATAATTATAAAAAATCACTAGTCACTAATGCCCTATATCCTCTCGCTTCTCAACCTTTGACACAGATCAAAAAATAATATCTATTCTTATCAGCTTAATATCGCTATACCTTTCAAAGATGTGCTATCAACAAAGAAAAAAATTAAATTAAAAAAATCATAACTTGGTAAAAATTCAAGGATCCATATTTTTTTTTTCACTAACCATCTTGAAATTGCTTTATTTATCAGTAATAATTAAAATCATATTGAAAATCAAAGGGACCTAAAGTGATCTATCACCTTCTTTTCTATTCCAGGCCCCCAATTCTTGAATTATTTCGCATACAAAACTACAAAAATTGATAGGATTTCGAATAATTCCCATTTAATTTACGTTGCTGTCATTCGAATTCGAATCAACTTACGTATGCGAGAATATTCAAGAATTTACCCCCAGGCTTTCGACTGTTTCTTGATTCTTTGATGGAAAAAAAAATTCCAGGCATTTGACTGTTCCTTCAATTTTCCTTTATTTAAAACGAAATTTAAGGTCAAAACATAAGAGATGGATTTATGTATTTAATATTGGGTCTTGAAATATCATTTTTATGTACTTCCGCCACCAACGGAAGACAATATAAAAGAAAAAAAGCATCTCCCACGTAAAGTGCCAATTCAGCCCAAACACGTTTTTTTTTTTTATCTTTTTATTTATATCCCCCATTTATCTCAGTCAGAATGGAAGGGCAAAAGGGAAAAGAATAGAAGCCGGTTTTTTTGTCTCTGTAGATTTGCGTGCTAGACACCACTATAAAATATTTCCGGGAACAAATTACTTTGAATTTTAAGACAAATGTGTAACCTTGAATGATTTTGAGGTACAAAAACAAACTCAAAAGGCTCCCGGTCGCCGGAGGAGGTCACAAACGTTTGAAAGTTTAATTTAAATTTCAGGTCAGGAAAATTCATCTCTTGTTTGCTCGAGGACTACTGAATTTTTTCTTTTACATTAGAGAGTTTATTTTTCTTGCTGGGTTGGGAAATGGTTAATCCGCTATTGAATTGGATTTCATGTGGAGCAAAATTATAAGAGATGAATTTTCCATATTATTCAGTTCGAAGGCAAATTCAGCAAGTTTTTTTCTCGAAAAATAGTAACATGTGTGTAATCACTGTCTGAATTATGAAAAAGTTGGTTTATTTTTCAAGGGAATTTATAAACGAGATTGGTTGAACTATGTCTAAAGCAAATCTCAATATATTCACATTTTTACCTCTAATATCTACTCTAACTTTATCTACCTCTCACGCCCGGTTTTATAAAGTAGAGTTAAATATCTCGAGTTACTCTAAGGATTAAGACTCGAGTTAAAATGTGAAGATCTCTGTAAAAATTTATGAAGTAGAAGAACTCAGACACAACATAATCATACATTCTTTAAGAGAAGAAATTCAAACTAGTTATTTACATTACAAGTGCGTTTATGAACATGATTACAAGAACAAGTGTGAAAGATTAGAACGACGAGGTCGTAGATGTTGAATTATGCCCTCTTAACAAGTTAATTAAGGTTATTTTAAGGAGAAATAAAAAGTACTCAGCTGTAGCTTTCCTTTACATGTCAGGAGTGTTAGTTTATTTAAATAACTGATCCAACTACACCAAGACCTTTTGACAGTATACATTGGTGCCATCTAGTAGGTATATCCTTAGATTACTAACTAGTCACAAACAAATTACAGAAATCATGTATACACAACACCCCCTTCAATTTAAACACGTTTATAACAAACAAAATTTTAAATTGCAAACAACGCAAGCTCAAGTTTTTTAAAGAAAATTTAAATAATACAACGCAATAACGCACCTGTCACTCGATCAACTCTCAGGGCAGGGGTAACCTGAGCTTATAAAATCGGGCATTAAAGGAACAATTGAGCCTTTAAAGACGATGTTTTTTATTTCCTAGTATTTAGCTAATGTGGACAAAGAAGTCATGTATTTGGAAATCTAATTCAGCTATCATTTGGCAATACCTTTTCTCCTGAAAACCCGGTAATCCTAAAATTATCGATTTTAAGTTTGTATTATTATGTTGTAGTCAATCAAAAACGATCTCGTTCAATCAAATCCTGAGTAATATACTACCACTATCCTAACAAAATACTTACAGTGAGTTTTTGTTTCCGGTCGTCCGATCGTTCCGGCACAGTTTCCTGCAATCCCTCGACGTTTTTTGTGCGAATTAGTTTGCTGAACAGGACGAGCCCGTCCCTGCGGAATTGCTCGCGGTCCGTAGGTAAAAAGCTCAACTTCATCTCTCTGAAACAAACGCCAAAATTACAAAGTTAATTTTTTTTCCCCCCCTTTCGACCTTTTATGAATTAAAGATGAGCTTTTAATTTAGAAATTTGAAAGTTTGATTATTGGATTTTGTATTTTATTAAAAAAGTTGTTTTTATGAATATTGAAATGTATAAGAAAAGTTCTTTAATATCGTGCCCTGTGGATATAACGACTCCCACTCGAAAGGTCACATCTTAATTTAAAAAAAAAAAATGTCACCCACTTACTCAACTCAGCTTGTGATTTATTAAACTTCCCTTTTTTTTTGTAAAAATTAGCACATTATTTGAAAACGCGCGTTCAATAAATCGCATCAATCATCAAAGTCATCTATAATAATGACCTATATGAAATCCACTCAGCCGTAAATAGGACAAATTGATACTAATTTTGGAACGCTGCCAATCTCGATTGTAATCAACAGTTTGTGGATGACTGAGAGTTTATATCCAGCATCTTTTAATGCCCCATTTGGTTTCGTGATAGCAAAATAGATATGGTAATTTGAACACCATACACTCAATAAATTACTCCGGCATTGTATATTTTGAAAAGCGATTTCTTTTTCTAACTCTACCTTCCTTTTTTTCGTAAACGGAATTAAAGTAGTTTTGCTGGCTGACTAAATGAAAAAAACTACTTTCCTATGTATTTAAATTTTTAAAAAGTTCACAAAAAACACACTGTGATGAAAAAATACTCGTTAACTGAATCCTAATGGATAATTCCACCTTTGCACACTGTAATTTATTAAATTACAAAGGGGAAATACGTATTTAAAGCTTTCAATATGTATTACCTTAATGAAATAAAATATACGATAGTTGCCTTTATTGAAACACATCACATTTAATAAATAATTTATATTTAATAAAATTATCACTTCCTCTGGTTCATTGTTCACAATTCCTTGGCCTATAAAACACATTTATCTATTCAGATTATTGGCTTAGTTCCAAAAAAAAAAACAATTTGTCCTATTTATAGATCTATTCAGAGGGATAAAAATAAATATGTCATTACTGTCTACATAGATGACTATCAGGCATTCAGCAAAATCAATCTGATAAAACAGTAATCCATAAATAAATATGAAAACTCTATAAGTTAGTAGAAGAGAAGAAATTAGTTTTTAATCACTGAATTTTATCTGAAAACTTTTCCTTGGCCTTAGAAGTTTCATCCATTCCTAGCGGATTCTACAAAAGTTTTTTAATACCCAAACTTACGTTGTTTCAGTCCAAGATCGTTACGAAATAAAAATTACAAAGCAGTTTTTCTAGAATGGGTCATATTTATTGCGTGTTAAAATCTTTTATCGATTTTCTAAGAATAACAAAGCTGTATTTAACACTTACAAAGCGAGCCTTTCAATTTGGCTTATGGCTAGACAATTTTTCGTTGCAGTCACACAGCAGGTTGACCTTTAAAAATGCCGCAACAATTTGTCAGTAGATATCACTATCTAGTCAAAGAAATAAATGAAGTTTTTATGGGGCTTGTAGATTAATTAGTTATCTTAATCCTTTTGAGGTTAATTACAATAAATTTCCTCCCTTGGGTAATTGCTTAATTATAAATTCAAATACCTTCAACGAGAAGTTTCTTTAAATTTTTAATAGCAAAGTGGGTGGTTTTGATTAGGAAATTTATACTCGGAGGTTTATTGTAAATGGAATTTGTGCAAGCCTAATTATATATTTCATTATTTAGGTGAATTGTTAGATTTTTTAATGGATGTCTTTTAGCCCATAAAGCTGTTGAAGTGAGGTACCTACATTTGATTTATGATACAGAATAGTTATTTTTTTATCTAGTGCGCGAAATACTACTATGGTGATCAAGAACTGATGTCTATTATCTAATAATCATAGAAAAAGTATAGTAATCTATCCGTGGGTAATGGCTATTACTCACTCGGATGATTACACTACTCGCCTGCGGCTCGTAGTGCAAACTTCATTCTTCGTGAGTAATAGCCATCATTACCCGCTCGCTGAATAATATTGTCAACTAGCTGCTTAGGAAAGGAGGACCCGGTATTCAACCTCATTAATTTAAATGCCGATTCGATCGGATGTTGCAATTCAGCAATAAACGGATATAAATTGCGCTGCAAGCCGCAGCAAAGGTAGACTTAAACCGGTGCAAGTACCCTTTCGTTGGAAAAGCCCCTCTGGAATTAAGTCTCTCCAGTGCAAGTACCTCTCGTTGGGAAAGCCCCTCTGGGTATCTTCAGCCTTATCGTTGTCCAGTGCAATTACCTCTCGTTGGGAAAGCCCCTCTGGACAAGGCATAAGGGTAACGATAACTAATCTACAGTCCCTCAAGCAGCGTTGACGTGTGGCTCCCCACTATAAGGACCGCAGTGTTCGAAGGGTCATGCATCTTATAGGATTAGCGTACATGTAAGGGCATAATTGGGAAAATATATATCTATATTTTTATATAACCTGAGCGAGTTTCTCTCCATCAACCCCTAAAGTTGCAAACCCCCCATGTCACCCCCGTAAAGCGGGCATGACATATTTGGTGGAGACACCATCTCGAAACCGACGCGTAAGAACCGACGCCGTAAGACGCCTTTGAAAAAAGCCAACGCCTAAACACGTCACGACGTGTTACCACGTCACGACGTGGTACGTCGACAAACGGTACCGTGACGAAAGCACTCAAGGAAATTCACGACGAACGTGGCGAAGGTGAAGACAAGACTCGTAAATTTAAAAACTAGTGCCAATAGAAGAATAAATTGTGGCACATATTTGTGACCGCCGCCATCGTGGCAAGAATAGATGCCAGTCAAAACCAAATACAATTTGAAACCAAAGAACGCAGCAGCAATGACACCAGTAAAATTAGAATCAGAAAACGCGCTCTTTCTGCGAAGAAGATCACTGCAAAGATCACCACCAGAGTCGCCCAGTATCAGTTTAGAGCAGATTACCAGTGAGATAGATACAACCAAGCAATAGTTATTTACCTAACAAATGCGGAAAGTGATACTTTACCGCACGCAACGGCAGTTTAGCCGTTAAGCCGTTAAGGGCGGTAAAAGCACTGTATACTTTTTCTATGATTATTAGATAATAGACATCAGTTCTTGATCACCAAGGTAGCATTTCGCGCACTAGATACAAAAATAACTATTCTGTATCATAAATCAAATGTAGGTACCTTACTTTAACAGCTTTATGGGCTAAAAGAAATCCATTAAAAACTCTAACAATTCACCTAAATAATGAAATATATAATTAGGCTTCCACAAATGGCGTTTACAATAAACCTCCGAGTATAAATTTCCCAATCAAAACCACCCACCAACATCACTTATACAATTAAAAGAAATAGCAGACACAATAGACAAAGCTCCGAAGAAAGGTGCAACGCAAGATACCCAAATTATCAGCTGTACAGAAGGAAATACAATCACAGACACAGAACTTAAGATATGTCATTATTGTGGAAAAAGAGGACATGTGATGGCCACTTGCAGGATCCGAATGCGTGAAAGTAGATACACAGCTATACATTACTCACGTGATCCCTGCAGCTTGGACTATCCTAAAATCATTTGTGCTCAACCCTTTGATTACATCTACGCCAGTAAAGTTCAACAATATCCACGAATGTATAAACCATAACTGGTCGCTGACGATCCCACATCGAAACCTAACATCAAATAAAGCACTATTAGAAAATATTGAAAGAAAACTAAAATATGGACAAGCAGCTGCCAGAACTTACCATTGGACGACAGAAAGTCACAGTATAATAACGATATGGAACACAGTTTTAACAGTAATATTGATATATGTTTTATGGAGAAGACCACAACCATTAATCCTTGCACTCTTCAACCCTTGTACAGGCCAAGACTCGGGCCAAGATGACCAAAGCCACACCCACCAGAACACGATGTAATATTCTACACTACATGCGGTTTGTTTGTACTATTTCTCATGTACCTATTGGGAAAAGGGTTTATGTACATACAAAATAAAGCTAAAAAAGAAAGTTTGCCACATAAACCAGAAAGAAACAATACGGGCGTAGAAAACCACGAATACATATTGCGAATCACAGGCCGTAGACCTGACGGAACGCTGACATGCACTTTTCATAAAAATGAGTGCGACGCAAGCACAACAGTGAATGACAACACAGAAGTACGTGATTAGAAACAAAACACCAGAGGTGGACTTAGTGGAACTTTGTTTGGAATAATAGATATTCTCTGAAAGCGAGGGAACAAAAAAAAAACACTTTTTTTCAACTCTATGTATTACTAAAAATAGATTATGACAAGCGGTCGCCTAGCCCGCACCACGGCAAAAATTAAACAAATGGCTCCACAAAGGGACCCATAAAAAAGGGTACGATGGATACCTGGCACAGGGCGTGGCCACTCTCCAACCATCCTCACGTACATACATTACTACATAATTCTGGAAGAAGAAAAATATATTCTCGTTGGAAAAGCCCCTCTGGAATTAAGTCTCCCCAGTGCAAGTACCTCTCGTTGGGAAAGCTCGTCTGGGTATCTTCAGCCTTATCGTTGTCCAGTGCAATTACCTCTCGTTGGGAAAGCCCCTCTGGACAAGGCATAAGGGTGACGATAACTAATCTACAGTCCCCCAAGCACCGTTGACGTGTGGCTCCCTATAAGGACCCCAGAGTTCGAAGGGTCATGCATCTTATAGGATTAGCGTACATGTAAGGGCATAATTGGGAAAATATATATCTATATTTTTATATAACTTGAGCGAGTTTCTCTCCATCAACCCCCAAAGCTACAAACCCCCCATGTCACCCCCGTAAAGCGGGCAGTTGTGACAATATTTTTTTACACTCGTGATAATATATTGCTTAAATTTCCTTTGTCTGGTATATTTAATTTCCAAACACTTCAGCATCTATATAAATTTATATTTGGAAATATTAAAGCCACTAGCAGAGAATGTCATCGCCAGAGA